ACCAATGATATTTATTTCTCATGGGAGCCCTGGTAGCTCAGAGCTCTGCCAGACATGTTCATCACTGACTCTCAAGCCCTTCACAAAGATTTCATCATGCTGGTCATCCCACATCTTTTTGGTAAAAGAAACAACTCTGAATTCTATTTACAAATACATTCTCCTACTGTGTTTCTAGCCATGGAAATGTGTCTTCTAGGGACATTAGAGCCTGTTACTCTTTTTGTCCCCATCCTTTAAATGTATCATAATTTAAGCTATCCGTGATGGCACATGCCAGTGATCCCAACACTCAGAACTCCAAGGCAAAGGATGAAGAGTTCAAGGCCAGACTCTGCTACATAGTGATGTTATTCTTGGCTGCCTGCTAATGGTGTGCAGATGGTCACCATTAACCACCACCCATGCAGTGCTGGTCTCCACATCTGAAACTGAATTTCATTGTTCTCCCCAGGTATGAATCCATCTCACAAACAAACTCCATTTATCAATTACTTGTCTATTGTCAAATGAAATCATGGTAGTTTCACCACCCAGGACCTACAGATGTCCAATTAAAAGCAAAGAAGCACTATAATAGAATAGTTTAAACTGCTTCATCATGACCAGAGACACAAACAGTGGTCAGATGGATGGTCACCAAATCCGATTCCCAGCTACCTATAGCTCAATCATGAGCCTCAGAAGTCAGTAGAAATTGTAGAGAAGAAACTAAAGCCCATTGAACCCACCCATTTGCTCCTTACACACACACACACACACACACACACACACACACACACGCACGCACGCACGCACGCACGCACGCACCATCTCCACATTTCATGTTAATACTCAGCTGTGGTCAACACCATGAAATCTTGTTTTTCAAAATCTTGTTTTGCAACTGGGAAGGTCTGAAAACCACAGGTAAGGTGGTGTTAGCCCACAAGGGCTGGAGATTTTCTATTTCCCATCATACATGCTTTTCTATGTTGTTCTTGAAAATATTTTAATCTTCCATGTATGATTTAATCCAGAACTAAGTGACCAGCCAAGTGTCTGTTCACATGAAAAACAGAACTAAATGATTCCTTTTCCCCACAGCACCACATAACCATTTTGTAAAGCTGTACCACATTGAATTGCATATGCTTAGGAAGGTGGCAGGAAGCTGCCTCTAGCAGAACTCCCTACTTTGCATCATTTACCCTTCATTAAATAATCAAGATCGCAGACACTTACTAAAATAGCCAATATGTGTAGTTCTTACAAATGTGCCAACCTGATGACACAAAGACTGAAGACCAAAGAAACCCCGAGCTATTTTTGTGTTCAAAAGAAATACTTCACACTAGAAAATGCACAATAAATTTTTTATTAAGCAAGTGAGGCTTTCTGGAAATCAGCTTTTCTCGCTGCCATTTACCATTTGGCTCTTATCTGAGCAGGCTCTTAAAAGCATGCCCCTGGAGAAAGAATACGACCTCAGTTTACAGACCTACCCATATTTGTTTTCCTTATTTTGTTTGCAGCCCTGAGGGGGGGGTAGAGCCCAGGGTGTTCCACTGGACAAGTGCAACAGAGCTAGATTCCCAGACAACCAGAAAGCATTCCACAGTCCACTTCTGGGAGTGGGCAAATAGGGCATTCTTAAACATAACTTTGGAGACCACTTCTTAATTTGATAGTCTAAGCTCTATCTACTTTAATTTTCTAAAGATGCCAATCTGAAATAGTAAGAATTCACTTTAACACAATTCATGGGGAAATGTGGGGTCGCAGTTGCGTAGTAGGGAGACAGTGACGTCCTGAGTGAATGTGAATTGTTAATGTGGGCATGGCCAAGCCTTCCCTCCTGGTCATGTGCAGATATTGATAGTGTGTGTAGAAAATGTCTACCGTAGCTTTGTCCCCTCACCCCTTATTTACAGCCTGAGGCTGCTTCCCCACAGAGACTGGTCCTACCATGATTACCTAGCCCTGTGTCCTTGAGTCCACTGTATGCCATAACCTTGCCTCCTCATACAACTCTATATAACAAACACACTGAGCCTGGGGACACAGCAGCTTCTCCATCAGAAAGGCCACACCACCCAACCTCAGCTTTCCTGTCTGTGTCTGACGTTTCTTTATTCCCTCATCACCTCAATCAGCGCTCTGGAACCCAAGCCATGCAAAGACTCAGCAGTTTGAAAAGAATGTCTTAAGCCTGATATCCAGATTTTGATCCCCAGCTCTCCTCTACCTGACTGTGTGGCTTTGGAAAGTTACTCTGTAGGCTTCAATTTCCTCAACTATTGAATGGGCAGTGTTATACGACTTTGCCCTGAGTTCCATGGACCTTTCCTTACTTTCTTATTTTCTGTTTGCTTTTCAAATGTATCTGTAGACTTAAAACTAGGAGAACAAAAGTATAAGACAAGCAGTAGGCAAATCAAAGTCTGTCTGTTGTTTTCCCTGAATCAAGTAAAATACTAGGCATGTAGTCACATGGCGCAGAATATTTAATAATGTATGTACAGGTATATGATTCAAAATTATGTATAAAAATATTAAAAGACATCAAATGGTAACTTTGGTTAGCAATAGGTGGCAAAACTATTTTGACTTACTTTCCTTCTCTGTGCTTTTCTGAACCTTTCCAAACTTAAATAATTGACAAATTTAAAAAGTCAGGACAAAGGTTTTTGTCCCAAACACATTTTTCCTAGAAAACAATATTTCTAATGAAGTTAAGTTAAGGGCAAGTTCTGTGATGACATAAAATAAAGATTACTGCAACTCAAGCATTGCAACACCTTCCAGCAGTAGATCTGTTGCTACAAGCTGGCAGGAAGCAGTATTTGCGTTATGGACTTGCTAGACAGAAAGGATTCATTCGTGTCCTGGGTTAGACAGAGCAGAACCAAGAGAATCCATCATGGTACTCAGAACAGCACCCAACTTAAAATTTACAAATACTAAGCTGGGCGGTGGTGTCCCACAAGTTTAATCCCAGCAGAGACAGGCAGATCTCTATGAGTTTGAGGCTAGCCTGGTCTACAGAGCAAGTTACAGGACAGTCTCCAAAGCTACCCAGAGAAACCCTGTCTCAAAAAAACAAAACAAAAAAATTACAAATATTAAATGGGACTTCCCATTCAGACCATAGTCAACCACTGATGTCTAGAACGGCAAAAAGCGAGCTAAGTGAGGGCAAGTGTTTACAAGGCCTCTAGTTACTTACCAGTGAGGTATTTGCCTCTGGTCACCCAAAAATTGGGAACAAAGCATTGGTCTAGTCATTGAGTATTTAGAGGAAGAGTCAGTTTTCATTATTGCCTTTTTCAGCCTGCTCCCTAAATATCTGTCAATAAGGAACACTTTAGTGAAAAGATATTTACCAATCCTCTGGTTAAGAAGTCAATGCCAGGGCCAGGCAGTGGTGGCACACGCCTTTAATCCCAGCACTCAAAAGGCAGAGGCAGGTGGATCTCTGTGAGGTGGAGGCCACCCTGGTCTACTGAGTGAGTTCTGGGCCAGCTCCAGAGCTACAGGGAAAGCCTGTCTCAAAAAACCAAAAGAGGAAAGAAAAGGAAAAAACGTCAGGCTGGAGAGATGGCTCAGAGGTTAAGAGCACTGACTGTTCTTCCAGAGGTCCTGAGTTCAATTCCCAGCAACCATAAAGTGCCTCACAACCATCTATAATGAGATGTGGTGCCCTCTTCTGGCATGCAGGCAGAACACTGTGTACAAAAATAAATGCATACATTCATACATACATACATACATCTTTTAAAAAGTCAATGCTGTTCAACTCTAAAGAGGCTTTTCCTGGCATAATCTTTGCCATAATAACTCTGGGACTCAACTCCTTACTTGCTGAAGCTTCCAACGGCATAAGCTAGAGAGGAAGAGGAGTGAGTCAGAAACACACACAGCCACTGTTATGGGAAAAGGACCCATGTCAGAACTGGTCATCACAGACCACAGTTCCCAGAGCAAGGCACCACATGGAGTTCAAGGGAGGACTCGGGGTCCAGCAAGTATCTGGAACATGGACAACAAAGAACAGTCAATGTAGAGAGGTTATGCCCATAGAGTCTCCACTACTAAGACACCAAGTAGGTTTTAACAAAACAAACCCCAGACCCCACTTCCTCATGGAGGCAAGGAATATGACATGCTCAAAGATGAGGATGGTGACAGAACTGGAAATCACTGTGCCTCCATGGGAAGGCTGGTGAACAAACCAACTTCTGAAAATAAAACCAGAAGTCCCACTGAGGAATTGGTTCCATATTAGAGGACATTGGTTCACATCTAGGCCCTTGCTTTGAACAGTCTCTGTATGAACCGTCATAGCCAAGAATCAAGCTTACCCAGTACAGAACCACAGCAGCCCAGGGTTATCTGTGGCCAGCTGGTGAATGGAATATATCCATCCTCAATAGCCCATGGATATTTAAGATGCTATGTCTCTGTAAGGAGCTCCCCAGACATAATTTAGCCTACGGTGTGAAATAAATGCAAAATCTGAGATAAAACAGACTAGAAAGAAGAAAACTAAGGATATACACCAAAATGTAAGGTATAAGAAGATGGCAGTGTCAACACAAACATACACATACACACACACACACACACACACACACACACACACACACACACACACCAGTTCAGAAGCTGGGCTGTCACCAAGTCTGTCTAATTATACTTGCAGGCATGCTCACAACCAGCCTGAAGCCATTTATAAATAGAAGACATTCCTGGCTCAGAACCACCCTATCCTCAGAGTGCACTGGGAAATACCAGCATCCCCTGCAGCCAGGTCCTGATGCTGAAGTGTTCTCTAACTACACTGAAACTTAATACCAGAGTTTGCTCCTGGAAACTGGGAGACTTGGTTAAATAGTGAAAATGCAACCCTACATGCAGGAGCAAAAATCCCAACCAACCAAGTTAAGCTTGCAAACCAGCAGCACTCTATTGGTCATGCAACAGTAAGCACAGAAAATATAGAAGGTGTGGTACATTACCCAAAAGCCCTGCTAAGGACCGCATGTCCTTCTCCATCAGCATGTAAATCTCTTCCTCCGAGAAGCGGCCAATGCCGTGGCCGTGCATCTCCCGTTTCACAATTCCTTTTGTTACGTGGCACACGACCCACCTGAGCAGGTTACTGAAGGGACCACCACTAAGAGACAGCATCTTCCGGGTCTCATTGAGATTGTCCACCCACTGGCAATAAGCTAACGTCCTGGAATTGTGTGGAAACAAATTACTACCGTGCATCAAAGATGTGGAGCTCTGCAGTCACTTTCAAAAGCATCGTTCAGAACCAAGTTAATAGTGGTGTTTAGCCTGAGCAGCCGGTGTTACTACAATGGCTCTGGTGCAGCTAGACTTACAAGCTTTGAAAGTACGCTGGAGTCCCGTGTTCCCGTTTAACCAAGTCTTCCCAGTCCCCTGCCCTCGGGTTCCTCTGTCCTTTCTCTTATGTTGTCTCACAGAAACAATCCACAGATTTCAGCCAAGTTGGCAAGTGCTATGGGGTGCACAGCAGGGCAGCAGCAAGTGGGAAGCGAGCATCCCCTTCTGGAGCTTAAGGATCGCTCCATGGGCAGGTGCTTTGCGCTAAGTCCTATGTTTCCGTGTTGTATAGTACATGTATTTCACATTTCATGATGAAAAGGGTTAGGTTATTTTTTAAGACACCTTTTTGTCTTTTAGACAAAGGTTAAGTTAAAGGTATACCTGTCTATGTCTGTATGTCATAAATTATATTCTGTGAATGTGTAAGTTATTTGCTCTCCCTCGAGCTGTTTCCAGGTACTCACCCAAGGAACTGTGGAATCATTTTTCCTACCATGGTACTTATGGCAAACACACCCATTCAGTGTCCCCACAAGGCACATACACACAGTCAAGCATACTACCAGCTGCAACACCTCTACTTTTCCTTTCTTGCTTTTAGAAACCTGTACAATCTCAAAAGTGTTTTTTATAACTAAGTTATGAGATATAAAGGGTTCCCTCGGAGAAGAATATACCTGTGAGAGTATACACATGAAATATTTCAACTTTCTTCATACTGAAGAAAATGTGTTGAACATCACCTGTACCCCAGATGTGAGCTGACATGCAGTAATGGTCTCTTAAAAGTCAGGAATGTAAAAGCAGTTATTAGGGGGAAAACCCCAAAGAATGAAGGTAAGTTGTAGCTACAAAGGGATGTTATTTTATGCAGAAGAAAATGAGAGCTGGGGTGCATCTCAGTGGTCGGTACAGTTTGCCAGCCTGTGTTGGCCCTGGCATTCTCCTCGAGCACCACCAAAAATTGCCCTGAAATTTTTAGCATTTTTATGCTCTAGAAAAATGAAAACATACAAGAAATAGATTTACCTAAAGTTTTTTTTAATCATTGCTGCATTTCTCCTAAAAGTCCTCATTTTAATGCATTCTCCATCCTACAGCCATACTGAACTCTTCCCTGTTATCTTTTAAAAGATGAGCTACAATTCTGCAGAAAGCTCTGTGTGTGTGTATGTTCACAAATCTCTCAAAATAAAGAACTGTAAAGTGAAGAAATGAATTTTGCTGAAAACAGAAAAAAGTACTTCACAGCAATATTTGACTGGGCATAGACAGTGCAGGTTATGGGTCTTTCGATGTGAAATATCTCACACTTATTCCACTGAATTCTACATAAGTGTGAACATGATCTCTTTTTTATGCCTGCGATAACTATTCCGTCAGAATAATGATCATTGAGATACTAATTGTAAATCATCTAAATTCACAATAACTGGGTTACACACTTTTGATGTCTGAAAATGGTTTTAGGAAAAAAATTAATCCTACACTGAGACTAAAACAGGTAATAACAAAACAGAGAGGGTACCTAAAGCACAAAAATGAGGAATGCGCAACTCTACATTGAAAAGTTCTCATAAAAAGAAAAGAAGTTAGATCCTAGAAATAACTGCAGGGGACAGGGAGGAGCTCAAGAGGTACCTGCCTGAAGACACTGGCTCCTGGGCCTACGAGAAGTCCAGGAGTATGGTGGGCTCCAGGATGCATATGAGGAAGCTTATCAGACCCGAGGCAGAAGGGCACTACAGAGCAGATCACTGCAGGCCTGGGGCCAGGCTGAATCACTTAATTCCAAAAGAAAAGGTTAGGCACTGGAAAATTTCAACCAGACAAGAAACGCAATCAGACCTGTGGCAATGCTGGTAGGAAGGCTGGCTAGGAGACAGGCTGAGTGAGACAGACAAGAAATGATGTGTCAACCAAACCACGACACACAGAGAGGTGTCACACGGTGCTCGGAGAAAAATGAGGTAGAAATGTCCAGTAACCAATGGATATGAGGGGAAAGTGGGTGTTTTCTCCCTGGCTAATAATTTGAGAAGATTTCAGTGCTGGATCACACACAGCAGAACAGATTTGGGGAATGAAAGAGAGGTTAACCCGTGGCACTTGAAGGTTCCAAAGAGCTGGCCAACTAAAGAGATTCAGAAAGTAGAAAGAACTCAGGGAGTACTGGTGGGCAGGGACATGTTAGCCAGTTTTAAAGCTGTGCAGGGAAATGAAATTATCTAAGGGAATTTCTAGAATGAGGACAGTATTAGGGAAACCATAGTTCAAAGACAAATTAGAAGATAAGAAAGTAAGGCTGGAAGAGGGTATGGAGAGGAGAGACGTCTCATTTTCCAAGATGCAGGGAATGTGGGTCTCATAAAGGATAGAGAGATACAGACAGGTTAAGATTCCTGCCTGGTGCTAACTTCTCTTCCCTCTACACATGGACCCATGGAAAGTGAAGAAATGTCAGTGGATACAGAGTAGCAGGTGGTAGGAGAGGCAGCTGTCTGCCTCACACAGTTCAGCAGCGACAGCCAAGGGTGTGAGGTTCACACCCTGCAAGAGCAGCTTGAACGAAGGGCACGGGAGAAGAAAAACTGCACTCATTCAGAACTCTGCAGCTAAACGTAGCCTTGTCGTTCTCTCTTCCCCTTTCTACTCTGGACAAGTGTGCCTGTGTGTCTGCGTGAGTGTGTATGTATGCATATGTATCTGTGTGTGCGTGTGTGTGTGTGTGTGTGTGTGTGTGTGTTTATGCATGTGAGTGTGTATGTATTTGTGTGCAGGTGTATGTATGTATGTACAAGTGTGTAAGCATATATGGATGTGTGTTTATACACACATACATGTGTGTGTGCGCAAGTATGTATGTGTACATGTGTTTATGCCTGTCCATTCCTATGTTCAGTATGTACACAAACAAATGTGTTATGAGAGCACATGAGCACGTATATGCACAAATGTGAAGGCTAGATCTTCCTTGGGCTCTGCCCATAGTGTTTTCCAGTCGGGGTCTCTACTGACCCAGAATTTACCAAGTGTAGCTAGGCTACCTGGCTAGTACTCCAGAGCCATGCCTACCCCTGCCTTCCCAGCACTGAGATTACAAGTGTGTACCACCACACCTGGCTTTTGGGGGGCTAAGGGGTGGGGGCAGTACATTCTATGCATGCATGTGCCCCAAGAGACCAGAAGAGGGTGTCAGGTCCCCTGGAGCTGGTGTTACCTGTGATGGACGCTAGGAATAGAACTTAGGTCCTCTGGAAGAACAGCAAGCACTCTTAACCACTCAGCTCCTTAAACTCTCCCCCAGCAATGACAATCACAAAGGCTTAATCAAGGAAGGCTTTCTCCATAAAGGCCCTCTCCAGCCTGAGATCCATCAGTACACTGGTTGTCATTCATTTCCTTTGCTAAAGAATAAATTGTTGACTGAATGAAAAGCAGTTTTACACTGAACCAATGTTGGCTCTGCGATGTCTCTAAGGGATGACATGTACTTAGAAAAACAGAGAGAAGGATCCATGGAGGAAGATGAAACGGTCGCCAATGGAGTCTTCGGGAATGCTCATGGCACCTTTATCTTCACTGGGAAGAAGCCCAGTGCATAAAGAGGCATGAATTATTAACTGGGATCAGCAGGAAGGGGCAATTGGGAAAGACTAGCATAAGCAATTAAAGTAATTTATCATATGAAAATCTATTTCAGAAAGTTAAGATACTCATTTTCCTTATCACGACTAATGTGTGTAATCTTGCCTACAAAAATGGGGTCAAAGATTTAAAGATTTAAAACTTGCTCAAACCTTTCTAAAGGAAACCAACAAATAGGAGAAAAGCCAAGCGTCATCGTAATCCCAACCCATAGGAAGCTAAGGCAGAAGGATTGTGAGTTTATATAACTCGCTAGACTACGTCACAGATCCTGTCTCAGGGAGACCACAAGTCAGGGTGGAGAGAAGGAGGGAAGAAATAGGCAAAAACGGTTCATCCCTGGTTTGGTTTGTTTTGTCTTGATTTGATTTTTAGTACTGAAGCAAACCTAATACCTTATGATTGCTATATTCCCACCATAACCTAACATGAACTCAGGCCCAAGGCATAAACGAACACCAACATACAGAAAGCTACAAACTGCTGAGTCTGAAAGTGCGGCCTTCCAAGCCATAAGAATGCCTTTTTCACTGCTGGGCATGGTGACGCAGCTTTCAACCCCAGCACTCAGAAGCCTGGGGTGGCTAGATCTCTATGAGTTCCCAGCTAGCCAAGATAACACAGTGACACCCTGTCTCCAAAAAAAAAATCTCTCTCCATGGTGCTATACCATTGCTGTCTTTTATTTATATTCTATATTAAAGGGGTAGGAACTTCTGATGTATTTCTCCAACTACCTTCAAATTTCACCAGCCCCCCAAACAGGAGCTCTCTGTAGAGCTAACACTGGATAAGGAAGGGGAAACATGGGATGAACCTGTGCCATTGCCATCAGCCATCTCCTTCCAGCTTTCACACACCTTCCTGTAAACCATCTTATGAAAGTTTCCCATCTCCCTGTGAAAGACTTCAACTAGCAAGGAAATGAAATAAAGCCCAAATAATTGGAATGCTGGGTGGAATTTGCTAACCACCGGCCCTGAGATAGCAGGATACCAAGAATTCACACTGCCCCTCCTTTCCATGAGTCAGCAGGTGGTAAATAGGGTCATTAAGAAACAAAGAGATAGCTGCAACTCCATTTTGCCCAGACAATTAGCACACCCTGAGGCCCTAAGGTCTGCTGACCCTAACAGGGAGACCATTCGGCCTCAAAGGGTCACATACTCAAAGGACAGAGGGTCACACTCCCTCCCTAAGCTTGTTGGGTTTTGCCTTTAAAAACACCTGTGCCTGGGGAATGAGGCTTCCCTCTGGCCTACATGCTGAGAGAGCCCGTTTGTGCAAACGATTCCAGTTCATTAAAGCCTCTTGCGTGTTGCAGCAACTGGACTGGACATTGAGTTCTTAGGGGTACCGACCGAAACTGGTAGACTCCTCATTCTGAGGGTCTTACACCTGGAATACTAAAATTTTATCAAAAGCCAAGCTCAGGCTGAAGATTGCCTTCGGTACTGGAGTGCTTGTCTAGCTTGCACATGGCCCTGGCTTCAATACCAGTGCCCCCAAAAAATGAAACTTAAAGTTTACAAATTATGGAGAACCTAGAAGCTCATTTGGTCATTGAAAATGTAGAGTGTTGTATTTACTATATAGGGTTAGAAGACGCTTAAGGTCTTCACTGATGGCCACAAGGGGGCAGCATGCATCACTGAAGAAGCAAGGGTATCACAAAAATCAATTTCATGCTTGTAATTTGATTCTGTCTCAGAAAACCTTTAACACCAGTTTCCAAGCATTGGATCTAACTTAAGCAGTCAGTATAAAACAAAGGAGATAAGAAAGAAAGAAAAAAAAAAAACAGCCTGCTTCATCTTCAATAATAGCTTCTATAATGCAAGTGGGATGTAATTATATAGATTTCAAATGCAAGAAAAACAACTTTACAGCTGACTGTGCTTATCTGAATAAACCTAAAACATAGCTCGAAATTATGTCTTGTGTGTGTGTGTGTGTGTGTGTGTGTGTGTGTGTGTGTGTGTGTGTGTGTGTGTCTTGGGGCCCATAAAGATGGCTCCCTTCATTTTGCCTCAAGGTCAGAGAGTTCAAAACTGTCCTTAGCGAGTCAAAAGACCTAAATGTCTAAGGCTTGGCTACTGCAGGAAGTTTTTGTCTTGGTAGCTGATGTCTTATCTAAATAACAACAGACTTGACCCTCAAGGCTGGATACCAGGTATGGTTACCAAATACTTGAAGGATTAAGGGAAGAAAGTCTGTTTGCTCCTTATACATGATAATAGTAGTCTACTGCCATGTCCCCCTTTTGGTTGGGGTGCATAAGAATGTTAAATAAACTTGGGGCAATCAGTATTCACTGGATTGCTGTCCTGACTCTATCCTGCATCTCTGTCTTTCTCTTAAGCATCTTTACCTGCCTTTCTCAATCCACACTCCCCATCTCAGGTAAGAACCAGGCAAGTTGGCTGGATCTGGACTGAGGCCCACAGACAGCTTCCCACCATCATGTAACATCATAATGCCAGCTTTCCATCACTTCTGCCTTGCAGAAAATTGTACCCAAGCATTTTTAAAGTTCCAAGCTAAATAAAATATACCCCCTACCAAAAAAAAAAAAAAAAAACCCTCAGATCATCAAATAGCTGAGCCAAGCACTGAGGGTTTACTGAGTCTTTTCTCCCACCACATAGGAGCTCAATGCTTATTAACATGTAAGAAAACCTCACAGAAAACTACCACACATTGAGGTCAGGTCCTATACTGGGCCAGCTTCCATTTTACTGTCTTGGATGGGAAGAGCAGGGCAGTAGAAGACCAAAGGGCAGGGCCAGTCCAGGGAGTCATTGCCTTAGTATTCTTGTGAGAGTAGGGATATGACCTCGCATATCCCTAGTAGGGATCTCCCTAGCAGATGGGGTCTCTGCAGGGGGGCAGAGGGGAGGAAAAGACACAGGACAAAGGTTTGCTTCCCTTTTGCTACTAGAATGAATATATATTGTATATCAAAATGCTCCCAGATTTTTCTAATGAAAGTGAGTTAGAGAGACAATACTAGCCTTTAAGGAGGCTATGTACCACCCAAGTAATGCAAACCCTTGGAAGTTAATGGTCTCCCTCCTGCCCCTTCTAGTTCACATCCATAGTCTGCCCTACCTTCCATATTAGCAGAGGGCTACTGAAGATCAGAGTAGAAACATACTGTCTGAGAGCTTCTATCAGAGAATAAAGTAGCAATAAAAATTGTGTAACACTGTGAAAAGCAAACTTCACCATCAGTGGCCCAGGACAGGTTCTCCATTTCCCTCTGCCACTGAAGAGTTGAGTCTGAAACCTGGCAAACAAATAAGATGGGATCCTTTCCACAAGCCTTTCCCAGAAGCCAAGGGAGCCGGCCAGTCATGCATCTTAATGCCCACTGTGACAAAGCAGAGCCCTGGCATGACACGGAAAGCACCCAGGCTCCTGCAAACACTCAATGTGCTCTCTTCCACACTGACACAAGGCACTTGGTCAGCCCTCCTTCATCTTTATAGTGAGGTGGGGAGAGGATGTGAAATGCTGGTCAGCCCCAAAATAAACAGTTAAAAAGTCAAACATAGGAAGAGAAAAAGAGAGGGCCACTTAAAATCCTGGAGATCGGAACATCTAGTTTTCTAGTTGTGAAGAGGGCAAATGGATGAAACAGTGACCAAGCCCACAGTCAGTCCTATGGGAGATGGTCCCCGTGGGAGGAAGTGGTTAGAAAAAGCTCCAGGCCAGCATCTAACCAAGAAATAGTACTGCGAATACAGTGGAATTAACGATACTTAATTAAGGATTGGAGACACAGTACAGTCTGCAAATATGCCATCTCTAGTGTAGAGAAGGGTTAGAAACACCAGAAAATAGTTGTAAGAGGGGAAAGCCCACAAGAAAATATGTCTACCAAGCAAGACTAGCCAAATGTGATTAACTTGAATGGTGCTGAAGCAGCTTTGGGGATAGCAAAGCAAAACAGAGCAACTGGTCAACCCAACTTCAAATTTATGTGATACCTCAAATTTGGGGATTATGGAGTCGGGTATTGGTGGCTCACACCTTTGATCCCAGCATTTGGGATGCAGAGACAGGAAGATCTCTGTGAGTTCAAGGCCAGCCTGGTCTACAGAGCTAGTTCCAGGACAGGTTCCAAAGCAATAGAGAAACCCTGTCTCAAAAAAAACAAAAACAAAAACAAACAAACAAACAAAATTGGGGGACTATGAATGCAGCAATCAGCACAGAATGCTATCTGAGGAAAGGTGACATACTTTCACAATTGTGTAATTGATTACACTGAGAAATCCAATCTCTACTTAGCCTTTCACACCTTCCTCCAGTACATGCTGCTCTTTCGTTCGTCCTTCCTTCCTTCCTCCCTTCCTTCCTTCCTCCTTTCTTTCTTTCTCCTCCTCTCTTCTTGCTTTTTCCTTTTAGACAGAGTTTCTCTGTGTAGCCCTGGCTGTTCTAGGACTTAACTCTCTAGACCAGGCTGATCTCAAACTCAAAGATCCACCTGCCTCTGCCTTCCAAGTGCTGGGATTAAAGGCTTTCACCACCACTGTCCAGCATTTTCATTCAGAAGTTTATACTAATGAGCCTCACAAATTGAAATATCCCCTTCCTAAATCCAGCAAATTGCAGCATGCAGACTATGAAGTGTGTATGTGTGTCTGTCTGTGTGTGTGTGTGTCTGTGTGTGTGGTTGGTAAAACATCAAAGGAAGACTGTGTTGTTATAATTGAAATCCAAGTTTCAGTTTGCATAATGGTTTACCTGGAATGCAGTCTGCTTATAAATTTCCAGGCTCTTTGGCAGAGTTGACTGTGAAAGATGGACTCTTAAGAATGCCTGTGGAGTCCTGGTCTAGAGTACTTGGAGACAACAGACAGAACTTTGACCCTAAGTCAAAGTTGTTTTTAATAAACTTTGAGAAAGCTGAGTAAAACACTCTTGAGAAGGTGTGTGTGAGAAAGCAGGAGAGAATTTGGGCTGACTGGGAGTGTACAGGGACACAGCAGAGACTCACCAGTAGAAGTGTTCTTCCACCATCTTGGTCACGGCTCTTGAGACAGCTCTTTCATGAGGGCCAAGATTTTTGTTTAGGTTCACTCCAAGTTTCTCTTCCAGAAAGTCAATTATGAACTCTGTACCAGACACTTTTTCATTATTATATTCAATCCAAGGCATTTTCCCTTGAGCAGAGAGCTTTCCACCAAAATAGTTCTAAATGGTATTTAAGAGAGAGAGAGAGAGAGAGAGAGAGAGAGAGAGAGAGAGAGAGAGAGAGAGAAGCAATGTGTATATAAATTACACTGATTAGCAGAACCAAACATTCCAACCCACAAGTGCTGGTGTCCGTACTACCTACTCAAATGAACTCAGCATATTAACTCTTTAAGATTGTTACTCTAGAAGGTGAAAAGAAGAGCCTTTTACTGAACATCAAAGTGTTAATTTATCCCCATAGGTTCGATCAGCACTCAAATTCTATATGGACTAAGGGAGTTATGGGACTCTGAGGCAAGGAGTAAGAGAGGGAAAGGGTGGGTTCAAAATGGGCAAAACTAGCTATAACGTGTAAACATTTCACAAATAACAAAAGAGTGAAAATAAACCACAAAGAAGCTTGTACCAACTCAGTATCCAAAGAACTCACTTGAAATCCAATATGTGGAATCTGAATGATGTTTTCTGTCACTACACTACAAGCTAGCAGCCCCCTAAGTTATCATATCATTCCAAGGTTAAAAAGAAGAACATACAACAGTCTCAACTGTAGCATCTCCTAAGGAAATTCAGCAGGTTCCTGGTTTTTATGTGTAGTCCTAAGGGTGGTACCCAGAATCTGTTCAGACAAGCTCTATTTTGATTCTATAAGCATGTTAGAAGTGTACAATATCTCAGAATATCTTGATCTAGAAAGGAGGTGGACAGATCAAGTCACATGATTTATTGTTAAAATTACAGTAACATGTGTTCTCCAGTGTATATAAAGACCTAGACCACATGAATGGAGGTAATTCTGGAGAATTTCATGTCTTCAACCATATTTCTCAATAAATACAGTCATTTAAACCTCAAAGTTGATTGTTAGACTACACAAACTAAATTAATCTGATTGTACAAATAGATAATGCAAACACTATTAGATAATGACAAATGTTAGCCTCTCTGAGAAAACTGACACTAAAATACATGGTGGGCATGAAAGGCGAACCACTTCAAACCTGACAATGTCTTAAGCTAAACACACACCTCTCTTCTTAAAAAAAAAAAGTACTTATTATTTTATGTATAGAAGTGTTTGCCTGGATGTATGTCTGCACCTGGTGCCAGTAGAAGCCAAAAGGGGTCATTAGATCCCTGGAACTGGAGTTACAGACAGTTGTGAGCCTTCATGTGGGTGCTGGGAACTGAACCAGGACCCTCTGGAAAGGAGGCATTCTCGTAACTAAAATGCCACCTCTCCAGCCCCTACAACTTCCTTCTAATCAGGCCATTTCACCCCTAAGAGGGGTGAGAGTCAGAAAGCACATAGCAGACAAAGACATGTACACAAAAGTCAGAGCTAACGAGACAGCTCTGTGGTTAAGAAAATGTAGTGTTCTTCCAGAGGACCTGAGTTTGGTTCTCACCGACTATAACAGGTGGCTCACAACCACATATACATAAATAAAAAAAAATAATTTTCATACTCATACACTTTTTTAAAATTATCAAAACAGGAAAAATGCTATTCAGAGACAAATTAACAAACAAGTCTCCAAATATACAACAGGTTATTATCCAGGAAAAAGGAGAGAATGAACTATTTACACACAAATAGCGTGGATAAATTGTGTGAGTAGAATTAGCCAGACTTAAAAGGACTGCCCAGGGCTGAGGACAACTCAGTCAGTAAAGTGCCTGCTTTGCAAACAGAAGGACCTGAGTCCAAGCCACAAACTCCACATGAAAAGCCACAAGTGGAATAGGCATCTGTGAGTACTGGGGAGGAAGAGACAAGCAAGCCACTGGGGCTTACTGGCCGGGTGGCCTGGCCAAAATAATGAGCTCTGTGGTGGTTTGAATGGGGCTGGGTCCCCAGTTAGGAGGTGTGGCCTTGTTGGAGGACATATGTCATTGGGGGTAAGCCTGCTAGGCTGTCTTTCTCTGTGTCTATCTCTGTCTCTGTCTCTCTCTCTCTCTCTCTGCCAGCTGCCTGGGGATCAGAATGTAAAACTCACAACTACTGCTCCAACACCATGTCGTCGGCTTGCTTCCTGCCATGATGATCGTGGACTAAACCTCTGACATTATATCCAAGCCCCAATTAAACACTTTCTTTTTTAACAGTTGCCACGGTCATGGTGTCTCTTCACAGCAGTAGAACGAAAACTAAGACAAGCTCCAAGGTCAGTAAGAGACCATGTCTCAAAAATTAAGATAGAGAACAACAGACGAAAACACCCAACGTCAGTCTATGACTTCCACATGCCACACACAGACACACACATGCTGGGCATTGAGGTGTACACCTTTAACTCCAGCCCTTCGGAGGCAGAACTAGACAGATTTCTGTGAGTTTGAGGCCAGCCTGCTCTACAATAGTGAGTTCCAGCCCAACACACATACAAAAGAACACTGTAAATTCTTTTTTTTTTTAATTCTAGAAAATATAAACTAATTTCTGGTGACATAAGGTCTATCTATGGTTGTAGAGGACAATGAAGGATGGTAGGAAGAGAATTTCAAAGAGGCACATGAAAATTTTAGAAGAAAATGGATCTTTTCACTGTGTTTTATTTTGAGACAGTCTTATGTGGCCCAGGCTAGCCTGGGATGCATCATATAGTTGAGACTGGCCTCGAACTCCTGATCCTTCCACGTCTAGCCTTAAGTGCTAAGATCACAGGTTTGCACCAGCACCCGGCATTTACACTTAACATGTGCAACACATGTGTGTCAATTTTGGCTATCTAAAGTTGTGGGCTTTTTTTTTTTTTTTTAAGAGAAGACAGTATTAGATAAAATTTGGAATACATCAATCCTGAATATCTTTAAATGTGTCTCTAGAGGTCAGCAAAATCTTCCTATAGAAAGCCATGTATACACTTAAGGCCTTAAGTCTCTATTAACAGCTCAACGCTACGGAAGAGGCAGAAGAACCAGCATGGGTCACCACAAGTGACCAACTTTGACTGCTCCCCCAAAAAAGTCATGCACTTCATGAATGACAAATAATTATTTTTTTTACTCCTCCTCCAACTATTTAAAAGTTTATAAATGCTTCTTCCTCCCCAGGCCCGATAAGAACAACCCCTGCTGCAAACGCTAGCAGCTACCCACCTTCTCGATAGAGAAACCAAATCAAAACCAAGGCAGCATCATTCAGACCAAACCCTACACAAGAAGACACCTTTTTGCAAAGGTGTATTATAACAGAAAACTCTATAAACATTTTCCAGAGCAGTGAACTCTCCCTAGGAATCCCAAAACTTCAAACATTTAAAAAAAAAATGGGGTTTTTGGGCTTTTTTTTTTTGTGGGGGTGGACACTTGGATTAAGACCCAAATAAATGTTAGAGAAGACCAGAGTAAAACACAGTCTTCTAGACACCATAGGACAGCTGTACTCACTAACACATCCCAGCTGTGACTGCCTGCACAGGACCTGTACAAGATAAGTCAGTCAACATCGACGTGGTTGGAGAAGGGGCTGACATGAGGAGCCATGGGAGATGGCTGCTAGGAGAGGAAGAGTAGTTTTCTATAAGAATGTGGTCCCCGGAAGTTTACCATATTCCAATGGTGACCCCACACCTACGAGTAAATGGGGCCCAACAAATTAGATTCAGTGTGTTATTTTTTTTTATAAAAGACACAAAGATTGAAGGATGTAGACACAGATCTAGGAGAAGTGGGAGATGAAGAGCTGAGGGTAAATATGGTCTAACTATATTATAAGCATGTGTGAAATTCTTGAAGAATTAATAAAAATTATTGTATTAAAATTATCATGTTGTAATTGGAGACATGGCACAGTGGTTAAAAATACTGGCTGCTCTTCCAGAGGACATAGGTTCAATTCCCAGAACTCATATGACATCCCACAACCATCTGTAACTCCAGTCCCGGGGGATCTAATGCCCTTTTTTGACCTCTACAAGAATCAGGAACACACATACATGGTCCACAGACACAAATACAGGCAACACTCACATGCTAAATAAATAGATAAATGAATATTTTTAAATCATTCAACTTGCTTTTGCTTAAATCACACCAAGATTTGTATGTGCCTTTCTAAGAAACCAGTGGGGCATGTTACTTCAATGGCTAACAACAGAAGATAGCAGCTCTCTGAGGCAAGTCTCTGTCTAGGAATTGCCCCTCTTGCAAATTGTATATGGTATACACTGGTGTATGCCCTACTTCTGAGATCTCTGTGTAATCTCAGGGTTATGGTGACAGGGCAGGCATCCTTTTGTCCTGGACTTCTCTATTGGTAGGTGATCTCACCTTTTCAGAAGACTCAAAAGCAGAGTGTGAACTAGCTAAACGCTACTTACCACTATCTTGGGTAAACTGGTCTCTGTTCATAGAGTGATACTTTAACCCATTGCTTAATATCAAATGATAATAAGCAGTTATTATCATTTAATTTAATTATCAATTAATTTTAGGCAAGCCTGAAAAAGAGTGGTAACCAAATACAGATTGTCTGTGCACAATTTAGAAAATGGAACCTCATCTAGTAGTATACTTTATGCCAAGAACCTTTGGCTGTATATTGCTATACAGTAAACAACTTGTACAATCATACATGGCCACTCCCTAGACATTACCCTTATTGCTAACTAAAAGTAATATCACACATCTTTTGCACAATATTAGTTTACACTGTGAAGATACGTCTTTGCCAAGGCATCTTCTGAGTGGTTTAAAAAAGAACTGAATGGCCAATGGCAGGAAGAGGTTAAGTAGGACTTCCAGAGACAAAGAGGACTCTGGGAAAAAGAAAGGCAGAGTCACCAGCCAGACTCAAAGGAAGCAAGAGGTACAAGATGAAAGAGAGGTGATGCCACATGGCAGAACATAGGCTAATATAAATGGGTTAATTTAAGTTATAAGAGTTACTTCAGATAAGTCTAAGCTAAAGACTGGGCTTTCATAATTAATATGTCTCTGTATCATTATTTGAGAAAAAACTTGTTACACACATTTCTGAAAGTTACAATGAAAATGAGGGCAAATATTCTTCCTCAAAATCATCAAGTGGTAATGAATCATGGAAACATATGTTTGTGTCCCTGCACTCAGGAGGCTGAGGCAGGAGGACCACTTTAAATCAGCTTGGACAACATAGTTGAATTCAAGGCCAATCTAGGCTACATACTAAAAACTAAAGCAATTTAAAGTGCTTACCATGCAATCAAGAAGATCAGAATTCACATTCCCAGAGCCCATGTAAATGCAGGGTGGACATGGTAGCTCACCTGTAATTCCAGCCTTGGAGGAGGAGACAGGACCCCAAAGCAAGCTGGTGAGTGAGCCTGGCCAAATCAGCAAGCTCTGGGTTTAATTGAGAAAGACCCTGCCTCAGTGGCCAAGGAGGAAAAGCAATCAAGGAAGAGTCTCATTCTCAACCTTGGGCCTCCAATACACACCCTTGCACTGACACACACATCCCAGCACACACGCACGCACAGGCACTGCACACATACACACATGGAAACAAAACAAAACTTAAAAGCTAGGATTGTAACTCAGTGGTAGATCACTTATCTCACATACATAGCATAGGCCTCTGGCTGACCCCAGCACCCTCCTCCTCCTACAAACAAATTCCAATGGCAATCCACACTCACACCATCCAGCAGCTGCCATCTGCCAGCCTCGCTGGTTATCGGTCTTTCTGGTTCCTGCTTCAACTTCCACACCCAATCCGATCACTCTGCATAGTCACCAGCTTTTATAGGAATCCCTTTCCCCGTCCTCTGTGATGGCCTTGTCTCCTGAACGCTGGGTAAGCAATTCGTTAACAACATTGCCATTCACTATGCAAGGAAGTGAGCACTCACCGCACTCAGAACTACCACCAGACACCTCCCACTGGCTACATTCCAGGTAATTTGACTACCTTTCAAAAACTATAACTCATTGGGAAAAGTCCATGTACCTAATGTATATTGTAGTTTTGTAGGAAAACTGTCTTTATTTGGGAAATATGCATGTAAGCATTTTAAGTGAAGTTTCATGATTTCTGCAAAAACATGTTTCTCAAAAAATAGAAAAAGAGCTAAACCAAAAGAGGCTAAATAATATCCATAAGTGAAACTGTGGGAAAGGACTGGGGTGCTCATTATACTACTCATTTAAGTTGTCCATAGATGAGAGAAAACCAAGCCAAAGAAATGGAAAGACAGGATGAACAAATGAGCAGAAGTGAAGCCTGAGGACCACAGAGAGGACTTTAGCCGTTGCACAGTAAAATTCCTGGGCTGGGAAGCATAGGGGATCTAAACACAAAACACTAGACTTCTAAGAAGAATGACCACTACAAGAGAAAGGAAACAAGCTGAATATAGGTAGCATGAAGCAGAAATACTGAGACAGACTGAATGCTTTTAGATAGCACAATAAATACCCTCCCACAGATAAAGGGAGAAACTAGGAAAACTGACTGAGGAGACACACATTTTAAGAAAAGATACAAGTCAACTTCAGTCAGCAGTTGACCAGCAATGGTGACACACACTGTACTTGGGAGGTAGAGGCAAGGGGAAAGGCTGACAAAGGTCACACAGGGAAGCCACTTCAAAAGGAAAGAACACAACAGAGGAAAAACACAACGAGGACCTGAGAGATGGCTCAGCTGGGAAGGGCAAACTGCCCTTCCGAGAACCTGAGTGTGATTCCCACCACCCACAACTACCTATAACTCCAACTTCAAAGATCACCGGTGCCTCCAGGAGCATCTGAAAGCACATGTGCACACCCCCAGACACACAGACATACATTCTGCAATGGAGCAGAGAACTACAGGCCAGCACAGAGACAGGGGAAATAAAAAGCAGAGATCCAGGCAACAGGAAACAGGCAGGGAAAGTTATTAAAGGGAATATTTTAAGAATATTGATCATTGTTTTCCCCAGAATTAAAAAAAAACACATAGTCCATCTCACCCCAGTCAGAGTGGCTCTCTCCAAGAAAACAAATGATAACAAATGCCAGTAAAAAAAAAAAATACAGAGAAAGACAACACTTGGGCACTGCTGCGTGAATATAAATTGATGCAGTCAATATGCAGAATAAAGGTTTCTCAAAAATAGCTACCATATGAGCCAGCTACACCACTGCTGGATATATAACTGAAGGGATCCAAATCAGCACTGTTCCCAACAGCCAAATTAAGACACCAGCCTGAGTGTCTAACAATATGTGAATAAATTAAGAAAAGGTGTCCTATGTACACAGTAGAGTTTTACTCAGCCATAAAGAATAATAAAGTTATGTCAGTTACTGGAAAATGGATTGAAATGGAGATCACTGTGGTAAGTGGAACACACCAGACTCAGAAAGACCAAGTTCACATTTTCTTTCATATGAAAAAAACCTATATTTAAGTTTATACATATGCATCTATTGTGCCGTGAAACTAGAAAGAGGACCTGATGGGAGATGTCCGTCCGTTTGCTGTGAATATGTTTCTCTTATTGGTTGATGAATAAAGCTGTTTCAGCCAATGGACAGATAGGATTTAGCCAGGTGGGAAATCCAAACATGGATAGAGAAAGGTAGCTGCCAGGGGAGGAAGCAAGCGGCCCGGGCATCACCAGTAAGCAAAGACTATGTGAAGATAGAAATGGGTTAATAATTAAGAGAGAGCTAGTCAATAAGAATCCTGAGCCAATAGGCCAAGCAGTTTGTAATTAATATAAACCGCTGTGTGTTTATTTGGGACTAAACAGCTGCGGGACCAGGTGAGACAGAAACTTTCATCCACAAGGACCACAAGAGGGGAAGAAAATTGAAGCAAATTGTTGGAGAGAGGGCAAAGTAATTCATGTGACTGGGGGAGGAGACTATTTGGGGTGAAGACAGGGTCAAATTAAACAAAGTATAATGACACGTATAAGAAAATGTTATATTCACAACCAAACAAACTACTAACTAAGACACAAACCAGCAAAACCCAAACCAGCTTCTCTGTCTCTACACTGTGCATCTTCATGGGGTCAGATTTCTCCATGAATTTCAGATATCAACCAAAATAAAGTATTGGTAATAGCAGGCATTTACCTAATAAACTAGAAATAAAATAGATTTACAAAAATGCAAAAAAAGTCACTTTTTCCAGTAAATGTTTTTATGTTTGAAAATGTATTGTTTTTGCTCATGTGTGTTATCTCCAATGAAATCACTCATGTTATCTCTCATAAAATCACTGCTTTTCATGTTAGCATTAAGAATTATTAAAAAGACAATAGACACATAAGAACTCATATTGAAAGAGTTTAAAACTTTGGAAACTAAAGCATTTTTAAATGTGATCTTTTGTAGTATAAGTACCTGATAACATAACCTCAAATATGTAAACAGTATTAAAGTGCTAACATAACACAAAAAAAGAGACCAATCAACAAAGACTTGAATGCTTTGAAACTAACAGGTAAGCCATTTTAAGAGAGCAAAAATACAGCACTAAAAATAAAATATCCTCAAGCAAGTAAAAACACATAAACTGCTCTATACTGATAAGATTTAATTATTTTCTACCATTTAAAAAATAATAACCATACACTTGAATACACAGTAAACTGAAGGACTTGGTGTCACAGAGACTATTTTCTATGGCCATAATATCAAAACCAATTGTAGAAACAAGGCTTCGATAGATTTCCATATGGCTAGAACTTGTTAAAAAGAAAACCATATGGGAAAAATTTAAAGATACACAAAGAAATGAGAACAACAACAAAAAACACATCAAATGTGTTGCCTATCTCTAACACTACTGAGGGAAAGATGGATACCTCCAAATACACACTTTTGTTTATTCCTTTTTATGTAATAATGTTTATTTTTTATATTGTGGAAATGTATAAGTTTAGAATATTGCATATATATTTAATAATGAGCTATAGTTAAGGTTTTGGTTTATTTTCTTTTTTCATGGGGTGAAAATGCTTGCAAATCACTTATTCCACGTGAGTGTACGCATGTGTATATGGATGTGTGTTTCTTTTTCCCTCTTTTTTCTCAAATTTCTTCTTACAGTTTTTTTTTTTATTTATTTACTTTATGTGTCAGTCTTTTGCCTTCATGCATATCTGTGTGTCACATGCTTTCCTTGATGCCTGGGGTCAGAAAGGACATGGGATCCCCTGTAACTGGGGATCATAAACCACCACGTAGGTGTTGGGAACCCAACCAGGGTCCTCTACAGGAGTCACAGGACTAGCTCTCAGTCACTGAGCATCAATCCAACACCCTTTGTGTCGTTAATGCTAAAATCGACAGCTACTTCCTTGAAAGGCCCTCGAGCGAAACATGGAAAAATTCAAAAGTCAAAGGCCAGAGCTATAGGTAAGTGGTAAAACCAACCCTTGTCTAGTGCATGTGAGGCACTAGTTTCAATCCTTTTGTACTACCAATCTATTTTTTTACATATCCACCCAATTGCTATTATGCCCTCTAACCCCACATTCATGGAGGACAAAACGATAAATGAAAATCTAAAAGAAAAGACCCACCAGGAAGTAGCACCCTCAAATTTCTCACCAGCTGCCCAGTAAGCCTACCCAAACCTCCAACCACAGGACTCATTAAAAAGAAATACTCTCATTCCTTCATTGTAAAAAGAAACCCATAGACCCTGGAGTCAAGTATCTCTCTCTGACTGGGCACTGTCTTTTACCCTGACATCCACTTGTGTGACATTAACTACACCCCCTCTATGTAATATTGAGACCATAAGAATAAAAGGTATTTGCAAACAAGTACCTGATAGGGTAGGTCAGCCATTCTCAAGTAGGTTTCCATTTTCAAACAGAAGGGAGATAAGCTGGGGACACCATTATTAGGTCTTGCAAACTGATGTAAAATAATAGCATCCTTGGAGTCAAGCTCTTGCTGTTTCCTGTCAAAACCAAAACAGAAGTAAAGGACAGCCTGCATGTTAGCTTTCTGTTGCATTGGGGCCTCAAGAGGCCCCTGGAGGCTGGTAGTCCTCTATGAACAATCAGAGGTGTGTGTGACAGCTCTCACCTCATGCGGTGTTTACAGAACAGAAGCATGGTGGACAAACAGGAGGACCTAACGAACTCTAAAATGGCTATAATCCAGTGGCTCTGGGAAGTAACTACAAATCAGCTTGCCTCCTATGGGCAAGAGGGATACTTCTAGAACACACATTCTGTGCTTACTATGTGTTCTACCAGATTCTGCACCACTCTGATTCCATGGGTATCTCATTTAGTCTTCAAACACAACCTCATGAAATATATATATGGTACTTCAGGCCTCCAATCCTAGCTCTCAGGAGGTTCAAACACAAGGATCACACTTTTATGGACTGCCTGGGCTACAGAGAATGCTGGGTACAGAGAAAGCCACATTGCTAGAACATTGCAGAACCTGGGCAGTGCCTATATGCCTGCCTTACACAACACTTTGAAACAGACCCTTTAGGAGGCTGTGATATGATGCCCACCTACTGGGAATCTGAAACTAAACATCCAGGTTCTTTTTACATATTTATAATAACAAGGATTAAATAATATCTGTAAACATTTAATAACATATTTCACACTGAACTGTAGAGGAATTTATTCTTACAGATATTGTCTTGTTCACTTGCAAAATCTTCCCTATCTGGTTCATAAATTCCTCAGAAACCTACTACAATTTCATCTGACTACCTTTTCCCAGTCATATAAACTCCATTCTTAAGGCTTGACCCTCCCTAAGCTTCTACTTCCCTCTCCAAATTTCAGTTTAATTCTATACCTACTTGTGGCCAAGCAGGAATAACTTGTCACCTTCAACCACACTGTGCTCACAAGTTTTGCCAACTCCACTTCATAAAACAAATTCTCTTGAGGATTACTAGCTAAGGGCCTAGTCAATTTGAAGAACTCAGAATGATTCATTCTGAAATTACAAGCCCAAAAAATTAAAATATTTACGATAAAACAAAGACTTTCCTTTATAGGAGATGTGTGGGAGGTCCGATATTAAAATCTGACTCATTTTGACTGTTAGTAGACAACACAAACTCTACAATTCACAATTGACTTTGCCCAATAAAATAATTCACATTACAAAGTGGTGTTTTTGTGTAAATTAGCGAGGCAAAGGTTAAGAACTGAAAGGAGATAAATATGAAATCTGCTGCTCTACTAGCCGGAAGAATCAAATTCTAAAGGTTAACTTAGACCCTCATAGTCAACATAGATGATGGTCAGGTGCCAACATGTACCAGTGAGTATAGACACAGCTTTTATCAACCCACTTAATTCTGATAATCCCTCTCTAAGTCGGCATAGTTGAAGTTTAAATTTGGGACACCATACTAACATTTCATAGCAGACAGGGAACTTGAAAGTCAGAATATAACTTGCCCTAGAAACACCAATTTCAGATTAAGTCTGTCAGGCCAGCCAAGCCTGGCGGTGAGTCCCAGCTATTCAGAAGGCATAGGCAAGAAAACTGTAAGTTCAAGGCCAGCCTAGGCAACTCAGCTAGACCATGTCTCAAAAAAAAAAAAAAAAAAAAAAAAAAAAAAGAGTCCAAAGTGGGGTGAGGTGAGGATTTAGCTCTGTGGTAGTCTACTTGGCTTCCACAGGAGATACACCGAAACACCTCTGGTTGCAATTCCTAGCACAAATGAAAAATAAAAAAGAAAAAAAATGTTATATATCAAGTCTGAAATAATTACAGATCCCAAGAGTCCAAAGAAAAGAAAGTTGGCAGTCCCTTGGTTAGTTTTATTAACACAACCAGTTTGACTCAGCTAGATAGTGTACTGAATGCCCATAGGACAAACTCCTAAGTAGTTCACTTGTGTTAACATCAAGTCAACTGGATAAGGAAGGCTACTATTATTATTTCCATTCTATAGATGATACTGATTAAGAACTTGCTAGCATCAAAGGTACATGATTGGCTAAACACAGAATCAAATTTGAAACCAGATAATCTGGCTCCATAGGCCTCCTTCTACATGTCAGGACCCTTCCCCTAGATTAGGGTCCAGATCACATGAGTTGCTTCCTGTGCAATTTATTTCACAAAATGACCGTAGCATGAGATTTGAAAGGAGGACACCTGCAGAGGCCAGCTGGCTAGTTAACAGGACACTAACTCTGTCCTGCCCCTGCTCTACACAGATGGTCATTGCCATCAGTCATGGAGATCAGATAGGGACCCTCTGGCTGGAATATCCAAATCGCAAATGAGCTCCGGGAATGAAGTCATTATTTAGTCATTCACTTTACAAGCAAATTTCCAGATGCTTGAGTGAATTTAAATATAGATGCCAGACCATCTCCACATGGGGGAAACAAAGGGTTAAAATACAGTAATTATTTAAAAATATAACAGTAGAGAAATACAAGCACCCAAAATAATATCCCAGACAAGTACCCATGCTTCCCCCTAAAAATGTCTGCACTAGTTATACTCATTAATTAGACTTCTTAAGCAGCCTGACAACGTCATTTTCTCATGAGACAAAGCCATAGATCAAGGTTAACCTGGGCAGCAGAAAGTCCTGGCGGGTCAGGGAAAAGTTGATAGTCGCCAAGGAACTAAGACAGGGCAGGCAGTTTGAATTATATTTTCCTCCCACACATTTCAGATTTTGATTTGTTTTTCTGCCTAAACTGTACAGACACTTGAAGCTGAAATTTCTTGTACTTCTGAAGCCTGTTTTTAGTGCCCTGTCTGCTCCTTGTCTCTTTGCTCTTGGAAGTTGGCAGGAAGTTGTATCTTGACACAGGACTGTCTTCCCAGGCAATGCCCCTGTTCTCCTCCTTTCTCCCCCAACAACACCTCAGAACAGGCACTTTCTCACATGCAGCCAGGCTCCACATTGGAACCTCAGTCTTACTCCTGTTCCCACATAATCTTGGGCAGGTTACCGTCTACTCTTTAGTGGTAGTTGTTAAAGATACTTGGAAACACACACACACACACACACACACACACACACACACACACACACACACACAGGAGTCCTACTAAGTTCCCAAACTTGGGCAGCCTTCTTTCAGATTGTATTATAATAAGGTTTATCAATTCATTTGTCAAGAAACAAAAGTGAATGAACATGGGTCTTAAAACATCTTGATCCAGTATCCAGAGCTAAGGCTTCTGGTCACCGTGATGGATAGGGAAGGATCTAGCCTGGACAGAGCTTACTAACATCCAGGGTACAGAGCTCCCAGGGTGTGGTCTATTCCAAAGTGAGCTCCCAAGGCCCCACTATTTCTGCAAGGTCATTTAAGCCACATTTTGGATTCAGCTTTGAATCCAAAGCTTTGGGTTCCATTTAAAACCTTCACACTCTCTACAAGCTGGAAAAATGCTGGGAAGCCACATGGTATATGGACAGTCCTCACAGGCTTTGGACTGAAATAGAACCCAGAAATGACTAGCTGTTGTTTAAAATGCTGCAGAGTTGGGTGAGAGTTCTTTATATGGACCGAAACCTGACTGGCAATAGAGAATAACCCTGGAGATAATTCACTTTAAAACTTTGGTATTTGGTTCAAGTAGGTTCAAGGCATTGAGCTAAAGGAGATGTAGCAAACTTAAAACAAACTTCTCAGTCTTCCATTGTGGCTAAGTAATAGGAAAGCCAACATATTCTCTCTGCCTTAGCTGATTCCTTACCCTCTCAGAACTATCAAATGGTGTGAATACTGCAGGGCTATCACAGTGTTCTCCTGCAGTTCCTGAAAGCCCATTGGAGGTCACAGATACTTTATAACCTCTAGGACTAGGTACCTCTCTTCACTATACTTCACTCTACTCACCACACCCCTGGAAAATGGGGTCTTAACTTATCCTTGCCCCTTCAGAAAATACTAGGCAGAAGAGGAATGCTCAACTACTGAACACTGATCTGTCTCCAATAATCTCCAGTGACTAGGGCCCCGAATGCATGGAACTTTTAACCATAAACAGTCATATAAGTTAACCAAAAGCTGCCTTGGTATCCTGTAGTATCACCTACTCCACTAAAGATCTATGGGACTAGCAGTACCAACAGCAGGGGTCCATGTATTGTGAGTCTCAAGCCTGTACACATTCTGCGGCAGGCAGCCATGAAACTGTTTACAGCCCAGGGAGGCTCCCTGTTATACCAAGTAACCCATGTGCTACTGCTGCCCTCAGCTCTCACAGCAATGCTCACACAACAATGGCATTTAAACCAGAAGGCACTTACAGTCCCATACCAGATAAGCAGATAAGCAGGTTAAGGCTGCACCAAACCTGAACAGGGCTACACTTTGCCAAGCATCTTTCATAGCGACTGGAGGTTCCAAGCTTCTGCAACTGCAGCTTCTTAATGCTGCTGACATTTAGAAAGGAGTAAGGGAGAACTAACCTTTCAAGTAAAGATGTAGTTAACACTCAATATCCCTTATTACCCATTAACCAATTAGGCGTTTATAGAAGTGTACCTTAGTGTTTCTACACAGCTTCTTTCTTTTGTTGCAAATGCACTGATTGCAGTTAGAATCTCCCTATGGGCTTTAACAGATTGTTTTGATCCATCACACTAGTGACTCACAGCACTTTGCTTTCAGCATCGAAATGCTAGAAGGCAAATACTTTCCCCTCCCGATTTAATTCTCCCATCAACTCGAAATGGCCCCTCACAAGTGGCCAGGTGACCATAAAACCCTGAGAGGGAAGAGGATAAGAGAGGACGCTTGAACCTTTGGGCGGCAGGGTGGAGGGGCTGGCTGGCCCGGGACCCCCCTTCGCTCCAGCCCTGCCCGGGCCAGGTGGCCCTGTGGGCGCCCGCGTGCGGGGGCCCTCTCTGCGGCTCACCTAATGACCAGGAGTTCGTGGAGCAGATACGCAGCCGCGGCCAGCAAAGCTCCCCCGGTCAAATAAAGGGTTTTCTTCCACCAGGGATCCGAGCCCAGCCCTGCCATGATCCCACCGTAATCCTGCAAAGGGAAAGCGATGATGTCCCCATAAAAGGAGAAGGGCTCCTCGGACCCGGCCCACCAGCCGAAGTAGGAGATGCTCTGGTTCCAGCTCAGGTCCACCACGCACGGCCTGGACGAGGCAAAGCCAACCCCCCAGTGCATGCTGCGCGGCTGGCTCCGGGCGCCCCTCCCAGGGCCCTCGCAGCCCGCATGGGAAGGGGCCGGCGCCCGGGCGGGCTCAGCGGTGCGCGGGGGGCGCGGGCGGCGCGGGCGGCAGAAGGGCGCGGATAGCGGGCGGAGGGCCGGGCTGGCGGGACCCCGGAGCCGGGAGAGGCAGCGGCGGCCGCCGGCCTCCCTGGCCCAGGCCTCTCGCAGCCGCTCTTTGTGTCGGCGCGTGGAAAGATCCACGTGATGTCATTGCTCCCCTGGGCCGGGCAACAGAGGCGGGATAAAGTCACCTACCCCGCGCCCTGGCCCCCGCCCCGCATCTCGGCGGCGCGCTGCCTCCGCTCGCCCCGGTACAGCTGCGGGGCTGGCCGCCGGGGCTGGAGAAGCGGGTGGCCTGGAAGGCTGCGGCGACTGCGGCTAGGCCGAGCCCGCAGCCGCCGCCCTCGGTTCCGCCCGTCCCCGCAGGCGCCGTGCGGGGAGGGCGCGGGACTCACCTGCCCTGAGCCCCGGACCGGCCGGAAGCATCAGGCGAGGGCAGGTTAAGGTCGGGAGTGTCTGGCCAGCAGGAAACCTCTGCTTTCAATCCTTAAAGCGTTCAGGGCGGCGGGCACCCGGGTCTGGGCAGGGTGCCCACAAGAGCTGTCTGCATGGACAAATAACAACAGAAAGTCCTCTAGGTGAGGACTCTTCCCTCTGCAAATCGTTATCAAGGATATCACTGATGCATGTTTTGTGGGTCTCTACCTTTTTGGTGCAGAAAACTTGTAAAATAAACAACTGTGTACTCGCTGGTTTCCCCCACCCTGGATAACCCTGAAAAGATTACTAGGGATTGAATTTAGGGCCTTATACATACATGGTAGCCAAGTGCTCTACCAACAAGCTATGTTCCTAGCCCTTTAAATCCTTAAGCTCAAAAAACATGACCGTGTTTTATAGAAGTTTGTGATAGGTGCACGAATTCTAGCCCAAGCATGGGCAGTTTTAGTTCAGAGGAAATAAAATTAAAACATTTAAAGACATAAGATTCTTCACAACTAAAATGGTTCTCTCTCCCTCCCTCCCTCCCTCCCCCTCCCCTCCCCTCCCCTCCCCTCCCCTCTTCTCTCCTCTTCTCTATTCCCCTCCTGACTGAATCTTCCTAATCCCATGTGTTTTCCTCTCCTCCCTTTCTCTTTCTCCTAACTCCCTCTCCACTCACTGCCTCCCCACTCCCAATATGCTCAGGAGATCTTGTCTCTTTCCCCTTCTGTGAGGGACCTTATATGAATCTCTTAGAATCTTTGTATCCTAGTTTCTCTGGCAATGTGGATTATAGGCTGGTGATCCTCTGCTTCATGTCTAAAATCCATATATGAGTGAGTACATACCATGTTCCTCTTTTTGTGACTGGGTTACCTCATTCAGGATGGTTTCTTCAACTACTGACTATTTTTAATTTTTTTTGTGAACAAAACTAAGAACCCAAAGAGGCAGTTTTAATCTCCCCTACAATAGTACTAAAATCATATTTCATTCAGAACTAATGAAGCATTTTCTTTTTTAAGCTTCTTTTTAAAATTAACTTTCATCAAGGTGTTGAAAGGGGAAGGAACTAATTAACTGAACACGTGCCTATGTGGTATACTACATACTTTTCAAAATAAACTTTTGTAGACACTTTTTCACCTATCTTACAAACAAAGAAGTTAAGGTCTAAGAAGAACAATTAACTACCCAATCCCAAAAGCTTTGTAGTAGTAGAGCCAGTATCAAACCCAAAGAAAGCCAGGCCTTGGTGGCTTTGGTCCCAGCACTCAGGAGTCAGAGGAAGGCGGATGGATCTCTGTGAGTTCAAGATCAGCCTGGTCTACAGAGCTAGTTCCAGGACAGCTTCTAAAACAAAACAGAGAAACCCTGTCTGGAAAAAATGAAAATAAAACAAAAAACCCAAAGAAATCCAAAGGCTCCCACAGTGGCCCTCTGAACTGCCCATCCCTCGAATTGTCATTCACACCACATTCTTGGAGTGTTGTCAGCAGGGTTCAAGGACTACTTCTGCTAAGTTTGGTGGCTATAAAACCTCAGTGGTCTATAGTTCATTGTCACCTCTTCCATGACAGCTGGCCAAGAGAAAAACTAAACAAGTTTCTCAAACTTTCAAGTGTATGTATATATCCAGGTGTAGTAGCATACACACACACACACACACACACACACACACACACACACACACACACGTACACGTATATGAACTCAGGCTGAGGCAGGAAGATTTCTAGTTCAAGGCTAGTCTGAACTACCTGCTTCAGAAAAGAAACTAGTTCATGTATCACCTGTTAGTCAGCCATGACGATCAAATAAATGACAAATTAGGCCACACCAGTGCTTCTCAAACACCTCTGTGCACATGAATCATGGGAAAGCTTGTTAAAGTGTAAACTCAGGGGTTCTGCATTTCTAACATGTTTGCGAGGGATACCAGATGATGATCTGAATGGCAGTTCTCTATACCACTAGCTCAAAAGGAATTAAGAACTACTCCTTGGCAGGTGGTTCCTCATCAACCCCACCAGGCCCCATGGGTTTTTTAAGAGTTTGGCCATTGAATACAGATAAAGGGATTGGTCAGGAATCGAGTCAGAAATTTTTAAAATGTACCAAGACTGGAAGAACAATTAGGGTAGAGCTTGCTGCCTATCTGACCCCTCAAGTACTGGGAGCTGAGAAAGAAAGCCTTGGGTAGGAGAGAAATGTAAGGAAGAGGGTAAGAGAAAAGGACAAGGAGAAGATGTACGCTGTCTTTCCTCTATTTCCCTGCTTGAGCAGTTAAAGGACCTGGCAGATTTCTCAGGCATAATCAAGTGAGCAACATGGACATTTTATTTATGTTGGAAACTTTCTCCTGGTGTTTTTAACACTTGTTTTAAAATATAACTTGGCCCAAGCATTGGTGGCACATGACTTTAGTGCCAGCACTTGGGAGGCACAGGCAGGTGGATCTCTGTGAGTTCAAGGCCAGCCTGGTCTACAGAGGGAGTTCCAGGACAGGTTTGCTCATTTTAAATAATTAAATGTATTATGCTATTTTATTAAAATGCCTATGTAATATTCGGCAATAAATAATTCATTTGATAATGTTCTTCTGAGTTTTATTGGGAGGATTCAGTATTCTTGCTTGGTATACTGGCTAGTTTTGTCAACTTGACACATCGCTGAAGTCTATAAGCCAGCCTCTAATTTAGGGATCTGCCTGACTCTGCCTCCCAAGTGCTAGAATAGAAGGTGTGTGCCACCACATTTGTCTAGGGCAAGTGGTGTTCTCTATGGTTCTGAAAGTGTCTGTTTCATCATCTACGGCCTTACCCCCGCATCCCCCCCCCCCTCGCATGTTCTTCAATTGCTTGCTCTCTCCTAGTTAGAAACTGAATAGGCAGGGTGTCATTGTAGTTTTACGCCTGTGCTTCCCTAAACACCTGAAATCTCAACAATATGATGTTCTAAACAAGACTGGAACAATGGCAGCACTGGCTGGTTTGCCAGTGCGGATGGGAGGAGCCTCACAGGGCCCTGCCCCTAGATGAAGAGCGACAAGCAATCAAAACCACGAGAGAGAATTAGTCTTCCCAGGGATGAGCCCTCTAATTGACTACCCAATATAAAGTGGTCAGCCCTAAAAGCATATGCATCTGAGTAGCAATAAACGAACTCAGCAGGTCGTATTTATACATTTGTGCGTGTCTAACAATAATAAAGAAAAATACATGAATTTGAGAGGGAGTAGGAGAACATGGAAGAAGTTGGAAGAGTGGGGAAATAATGTAGACGCAGTAGACACACACAGTAATGTAAATGCAGTAGACACACACATACACAATAATGTAGATGCAGTAGACACACACACACAATACTATAGATGCAGTAGACACACACACACAATAATGTAGATGCAGTAGACACACACACACAATAATGTAGATGCAGTAGACACACACACACACACAATACGGTAGATGCAGTAGACACACACACACACACAATACGGTAGATGCAGTAGACACACACACAGTAATGTAAATGCAGTAGACACACACATACACAATAATGTAGATGCAGTAGACACACACACACACAATACTATAGATGCAGTAGACACACACACAGTAATGTAGATGCAGTAGACACACACACACAATACGGTAGATGCAGTAGACACACACACACAATAATGTAGATGCAGTAGACATACGCACACACACAATAATGTAGATGCAGTAGACATACGCACACACACAATAATGTAGATGCAGTAGACATACGCACACACACAATAATGTAGATGCAGTAGACATACGCACACACACAATAATGTAGATGCAGTAGACACACACACACACAACTTCACGTTAATTTATAATCTATGTGTGGCATGCCTTTTCCCCCAATCACTAGAGAAGTAGGGGCAGGTAGATCTGTGTAGATTCAGGGCCTGTCTGGTCCAGAACAGCCCCAGGACTACATAGAGACCCTGTCTCAAAAAAAAAAAAATGTAATTTGGTGAACAAAAAAAGAAAATAAAATTCTGCTTCTGCTTTTCTTATATGTCAGACCAAGTACACTTTTTTAAATAAATTTTATTTAAATTAGAAGCAATCTTATTTTAATATATCAATCCCAGTTCCCTCTCCCTCCCATCCTCCTATGCCCTCCCCTCCACAACTGCTCCCCATCCACTCCTCAGGGAGGGTGAGACCTTCCATGAGGGATCATCAAAATCTGTCAAGTCATTTGGGGCAGGGCCTAGGCACTCCCCCGAGTATCTAGACTGAGAGACTACCCATCCATGGGGAGTGGGCTCCAGAAGTCTATTCGTGCACTAGAGATACATCCTGGTTCCACTGCCAGAGGTCCCATAGACTGCCCAGCAAAGCTGACACCCGCGTTCTGCAGGCCTGGTTTGGTCCTATGTTGGTTCTTGAGCTATCAGGCTGGGTTCCATGAGTTCCCACTTGCTCAGGTTATCTGTTTCTGTGGGTTTTCCCAGCATGATCTTGACCCCTTTGTTTATCACTCCTCCCTCTCTGAAGCTGGATTCCAGGAGTTTGGCTCAGTGCTTAGCTGTGGATCTCTGCTTCTGCTTCCATCAGTTAGTAGATGAAGGCTCTAGGATGGCATACAAGGTAGTCTTCATTCTCATTTCAGGGGAAGGGCATTTAAGGTAGCCTCTCCACTATTGCTTAGATTCCTAGTTGGGGTCATCCTTGTGAATCTCTGTACAATTCCCTAGTGCCAGATTTCTCTTTAAACCTATAATGGCTCCCTCTGTTGATGTATCTCTTTATTTGCTTTCTTCTGTTCTCCCCACTCAGTCTTCCTGATCCCTCATGTTCTCTCCCCCTCTCCTCCTCTCCTCTTTCTCCTACTTTCCTCTTCCTCTATGCTCCCAATTTGTTCAGGGTCTCCAAGTACACTTTTGAAAGATGAATATGTGTTGAGTGCTATGTGAATTATCTTTTCATTTTCCATTGACCCACTGTGTTATATTGATTTCTATAAGCTTGTAATTGAGAGAAAACCCTTTACATGTAAATTATAGCTTCCTTTTCAAAACATTTTCTTCTCTGTCTTTTTGGCTTTCTGTCATGATTTTAATTTTATTTTTATTGGTTTGTTTATACAGATTTTCACTCTGTAGCTCAGGCTAACCTGGAAATTGCTGTATAGCCCACCGTGGTATAGAACTCATGGCAATCTCCCTGCCTGGACCTCCTTTGTTCTGGGAATATAGAAGGGAGCACCACACAGAACTGTCATGATAAGTATGAAAGGCAAGGAAAGCTTTGTTTAAGGAACTGTTGTCATGGGATTCTGTAGTCTAAAGACTGACAGATGGAGCTTTGTGTCAAATACAAGGAAAAAGTGGAGACTGTGAGCCAGGAAACAACTGTGGGCAAGGGGTGAGTGTGAGGGGAAATTAATAATAATAACAACAACAAACAAACAAACAAACTGCTATTGAGTGCTATTGAGGGAGGCTAGGAGGAACTACTGTTTGGCTTCAGAGGAATAATGCTGAAGGCAGGTCAGAGTGAGGACATCACTTGGTGGATAGTGTCTGGTAAGGGAACTTGATCAACCAGTGTTCAAATAAGGGATGGGGAATTCTGGCTAAGCTAATGTTTGGCAGTGTGTAATATTCACAGAAGTCCATACTTCTCAGACTAGGTGAGGGGATTATCTTTAAGGGGTTGAAGTGTCCTGGTAGAGGTGGAACCTCTAGCCTTTGTGGTCCTATCTTCACTGATAGGCAGTAAGTATAAGTACTATTCATTGGAGTTACTCGGGAATGTATGAAGACATTAGGAAGGAGAAGAGCAAAGATATTTAAATAAGGAAGTGGCCCCAAGAAAGGGGATTTATAATCAAGCCGCACCAGGTTTGAGAGTTCAGCCTGAACCCTAGAGAAGCTCTTCCCTAAGTGACAACAGTGAGCAAAAAGGGTATAAATCCACCTCTCATCATGAGGGCCTCAGAAAATGTAAAGTACAAGAAAACCACCAGCAACAGCAAAGCACATCCTCAGAGGCGAGCCGGGCTTCAGTTACTGTAGGAGATAAAGGAAGACTTGAGAAGGACAAGAATTGGCACATCATGAAATAGATTTGAGTCTATAAAAAATGGCATGTGGTGTAGGGTAAGGAGGGAAGAGTTGGGGAAGATAAATTCAATGTAGAATTACAGAGAGAGATCCTGGAAGAGCAGGCATGCCTCCTCCATGGTGAGTGATGACATTTGCTCCTCATCAGCCTTCTTGAATGGCATAGCCACCTGAGCCCACAGATCTCTGAAGTGACAATGAGAGTTGTCAGCGGTATCAGCCTCCACCATGGGAAAGCTCTGAGTTTAGAAATGCTGACTCGTGGATGCATGCTCACTGCGTGTGTCTTGTGTTTCCCATGAGGGTTTAAGTGGACAAATACAGGAGTCAAACTGCTTAGCTGTCCTACAGCACAGAAATTACTCACAGGTGCACTAGGTCAACACAGTGGTTGAGCATCTCTCATTCATCTACCCATCTATCTATCTATCTATCTATCTATCTATCTATCTATCTATCTATCTATTCATATACACTGTCACTGCCCTATTAATCTGTCTCTATTTAAAACCAGAAGTTACTTTCTTCTGAGTTGAAATCCTTTAAACATTCTAAAAATGTTAATGAATCCTGAGTGGCCTTCTACTATCTGATTTTGGCAAAACTAAGCCTAAACAGAAGTTTAGAAAGTCTATCTATTCCCATCTCAAAGCTATATTTTGTCCATTTTTGCATTTCAAAACCGTGTGTGTCTGGCCAGCTTTGTATGAGGGTGCTCAGAATGCAGTCAGCCCTTCAAACTTCTCTAGAGTCAAAGACCCGTCAGCTTTGGCAAAGGGTATGGGATGCTCAGAACGCGTAAAAAATGAGAGGGAGAAGTGTATCTCAGTGGGTAGGGTGATGCTGAATGCTCATACTGAATCCTGGGCTCAGTCCTCAGCAGCACATAAAGTGGTGGGTGACGCAGTAAGCACATGCCTATAATCCTAGCAGTTGGGAGGTAGAGGCAGAAGGATAAAAAAGTTAAAGGTCATCCTTGTACAAAGTACATTTCAGGCCAGCTTGGGCTACATCAGACACTAAGTGTCTCTTTTCTCTCTCTGTCTCTCTGTCTCTGTCTCTGTCTCTCTCTCTCTCTCTCTCTCTCTCACACACACACACACACACACACACACACACACACACACACACTTTCCACACAGGTTTGTTTCCTAGGTCAGTAATTTCAGAAACTGTAAAAATGTAGACAGATTTTTCTTTGGGCCATCAGCTCACCAATAACAACATAGAGATTTGTTAATTATGAAAGTGTAGCCTTAGCTTTTCCCCAACTAGCTCTTATAACTTAAATTAACACATTTATATTCATCTACATTCTATTACATGGCGTTACATTTCAGCGTACTGCCCATCCTGTTTCCTCTTCCTCTGGCTGCTAACTCTGCCTTTCTTCTTCCCAGAGTCCTCTGCAAGTCCCGCCTATACCTCCTGCCTAGGCATTTGCCATTCAGCTTTTTATTACACAAATCACGGAAGTACATCTCCACACAGTGTACAAATTTTTCACAACATTTTCTCATTTTTGTCTAAATAAAAAGGAAAGGGTTTGAGTCTAGCATAGTACAACTATATACAATAAGAACAATTATCAAGTAAAAAATACATTCACAAGGTTTAGTCTCCAGGGCACTCCTGGCTTCATCTTCTTGGCTTCGTGCAATGGCCTCTCTAGGCCTCCATACAGGGATACCCCTGACACACACCTGGCCTCAGGTGCATTCCTTAGTTTTAGAAGATTTCATAACTCATTTCTTATATCCTTGGTGAGTACAAGAAAATAATGCTTTCTAGATACAAAGGGGAAGTCGCACATATGATATGAATTAACAGTGGTTGTGACAGCATGCACAAGACCTGTATAGCTAGACAAATGTCCCAGCATGAAAAGGAGAGGTAGGAACAATGTCCCAGCACTAACATAGGAATAACTGGCAATTGATAGATAGCTACTGGGAAACACAGCATCTGGTTTTGTTTTGTTTGTTTTTGAGGGTGGGGCTCCTGAAAAGTCAACCACACTCCAGTGCATCAACACAACCAAAAGTCTAAGGAGAGCATAGATTGAATTTGATATGTATACATACACATGTACATAAGCGCGCGCACACACACACACACACACACACACACACACACACACACACAGGTGGAGTTGGAATAGGAGGTTGAATATGATTAAAATATACTGTCCAGAATTCTAAAAGAACTAATAACAAACAGCTGGGCGTTGGTGGCACACATCTTAGATCCCAGCATTTGGGAGGCAGAGGCAGGTAGATCTCTGTGAGTTTCAGGCCAGCTATTCCAGGACAGACTCCAAAGCAATACAAAGAAACCTTGTCTTGAAAAACCACACACACACACACACACACACACACACACACACACACACACACACACACACAACCCTAAAAAGAATAACAAAGAAAATGATTAATTGACTGATAGTTTGACTGATGTGGTGATATTTTGTTTATAATCTAACAAAGATCTGCCTAAAGATCAGAATACAAAGCCAGCCACAGTAGTCAGCCATAGAGGACAGGCAGTGGTGGCCATACCCTTAATCCCAGGACTCAGGAGACAGAGACAGATAGATTTCTGTTACTTCAATGCCACCCTGGGCTACATGAAATTGATCCAGTCTAAAAGAGAAAGAGTTCACACAAAGGTGATCCCAGCACTTGGAGTGACAGCCTTTAATCTTAGCACTAAAGAGGTGGAGATATGGCTGAGGAAGGGATATGGCTGAGGGGTATAAAGGGTATAAGGGATGTGGAGAGGAATAGAAAGTGGGAGGAGACAGGAGCTCAGGGCAGTCTGAGGATGCAGTCTGAAGCAGGCAGGCTGAGGACAGGATCTCCCCTTTGGTCTGAGTGTTGGTAGAGGTAAGAACTCTCTAGTGGCTGGCTGCTTTGCTTCTCTGATCTTTGAGCTTTCACTCTCTGATAGATGACTGAGTTTTTATTATTAAGACCAATTAGAATTAGTGCTACAGATTTGATTGATTGAGACGGGGTCTCATTATATAGCCCTAACTGGCTTATAACTCACTATGTAAACTAGGCCAGTCTCCAATTCACAGAGATTCACCTGCCTCTGATTCCTAAATGCTGGGATTAAAGATGTGTGCTGCCACCACAATCTTAAAATATATTTTGTATTCCCAAGTATAAGTGATATAAATTACAGTAGCTTTTTGTCGTTCAGTTGTGTCTTTTAAGTAAAAAAAAAAAAAAAAATTTATATATATATATATATACATATATATATGTATATATATATATATACATATATATATGTATATATATATATATATATCACAACAGAGATTCCTTAGGTTAAAATAAATAACAGCATATGTTTTTATATACACGTGAGAATATGTAAAATGAAATGAAGCAAGCATACATGTTTCTATAGTAAAAGCTGAGAGATTTAAACTCCTTGAGCACACTTGACAAAACCTCCCCACAAAAATTTCCCCAAGTGTCTCTTAGATGACACAGAAACTTTTTTCCGATGATTCAGATATTTTTTTTTATTGACCTTTTGTTCTTCAGGATCTCACTCAAAAAATAAGCTTTTTGAATTTGTAAGCAATGAACTTTAAACATATTACTACTGTCCTCAGAGATAGCTCATTGCTTCAGCTCCTCGTGTACACATGGGCTACTGGAGGCGCCAGCCTGGGCCACTTCTGTGTTCCCCTTTAAAGCAGGCTCCGTGGGCTCGGGGTGTTCCTGTGCACTGGATTTCACAGCATGCGCTGCATAGTTAAGACTGGTATTTTCACTCCAATGCCAGTACCCTGAGAAGGGATTATAGAGCATTCCTGCCACAGTTTGAACTGACAGACCATCTGAAAAAAAAATAATAATAATCAGACTCAATAAACATTTAACATTCAAGCCACAAGAGTCAACAGCAATTCTTCATATTAACAAACAGTTCCTAATTTAATGAACAAAACTACTTTGCAGTCATGCTTAGGTCATACCTCACTGCAGGTTAGAATACATACTCCAAAGCAGAGGACTGGAGTCACACTCTAGCTCTGACACCTACTGGAATAGTGGCCCTTTCTGAATGTCACACATAGATTGTGTGTCCCGAAGCACTGGAATTAGAGGAGATACATCTAAAATAGTTCAGTGCTTAGAATTTTTAAAGTTCTCAACAAATACTAGCTATTAGTTGAGAATATCTGTCAACAAGTGATTGCCTCCATAAGGTATCTTCTTTAGTTTGTTTTTTCTTTTTTTGCTGGGCAGTATGGTGCACGCCTTTAATACTAGCACTCGGAGGCAGAGACAGGATGACCTCTGTAAGTTAGAGGTTAGTGGGGTCTACAGAGATAGTTCCAGGACAGCCAAGGCTACACAAAGAAACCCTGCCTTCCAAAAAAAAAAAAAAAAAAAAAGAAAAGAAAAGCCTTTTCTTTTTCAGTCTATTTTTCCACAAAATTACAGACATCTCTAAAAGCCACTGCACTGCTCTGAACTGACAGTATTTCCAGTAAAATGGTTTGTTGATGTGCTTTTGTTAACAGAAGCATGGGGAATGGTGTCTACTCAACAAGACCTCCAAAATACCAAGCACATGGACTAAGAAACCTCACTTAACTAGTTCAGGAAGCAAAGCTTTTATTGTGCTGAAGCACAGTGAGGCACCGTGTGGAGTACAAAAAGGACATTATAGGCCAGGAAAGCGTAAAGAAATGTGAAAATTACATGCGACCATACTTAGATCATGCTTTCCTGCAGGTGTGAATGAATACGCACTCCAAAGCAGACTGCTGGGTTCAAATACCAACTCTGATATCTACTGTGGTGACCCTTGGTTCCTTCTGCAGGTACCAGAAATACACAGAAAATGACATGGAGGTTGGAAATACATCTGAGTATAAAAGAATCGGGAGAAATCATTAGCTAAGCTGAGATAAGCAGGGTTCACCAGGAGAAACTGAGCTTGTGTAAGTGATGCACAATGACACCTATCCTTAAACCAATGAAGACTCAACCAGCCAGGAAAGGGTTTACTGCTCGTTGCTAAAGTCTATGTGCCCATCAGACATGGTATGTACTTCATAAGACATAGCTAAAGAGATAAAACTGACATCTGAAAAAAATGGCAACCTGCCTAAGTGCCAGATTCTGAGATTAATAATTACAGTCACATTAAAGTTCACACAGGACTGGAAGACAACCTTAATACTTACTTGGTTCCAGAATACTTTCTAGCTTTTCGGGTGAAACAAACTTCTCCCATGTGTGAGTGCCTTTTGGAACAATGCCTGCAATTTGCTCCGCGAAAACAATTCCCAGGGCATAGGACAGCTGTGTTTTGTTGACTGTAGTAATGAATAGAGAGCCACCAGGCTAAAGGGAAGAAATGTATATGCAAGTAAAACAACGGAGGTGAAGTAGAAACAGTTAGGGGCAACTTTCAGGTAAAGGCTTACTTCCTCACTCTCCTTTCCAAATAATTTGGTGGCAAACAAGGTTCTCAGTAGATACAAAACAGAATTTACCGAAATAGTAAATTTTCTCTCTTGTGAAAATCTGTTATCACAGGCAATCTACTACAGACACGAAGTCTGTAGTCAAGAACAGCTTTCAACTGGAAATTTTATTGCTGGGACATATTTATATATATTCTTTGGTATGTATTAAATACTTTATCAAGGTTGACACACATTTACATTCTTTTTTCCTTTTATTGAAAATAGATTTTTTTCATGCAATATAGTATTATGGTACTCCCTCTTCATACCCATCCCAGGCCCTCCCCATCTCTCCTCTCAGCCCTTTCTGCCTCTTGTTAGAAAACAGGCATCTAAGGAATAGCAAATAAAATTAACCAAAAACAAATAACCAGAATATGACAAAACAGCCAAACAAGAAAAAAAGCCAAAGAAAAAGCACAAGAAACACATACAGACATGTGTTTGCACACACAGGAATCCCACCAAGAAAATCAAAAGTAGAGGTTATAGTATACAATTCAAAGGACTTGTAAGAGTTTTAAAAAATGCACTGACTTAACATTAAGAGACAAAGAACCTCCAAAGATGTCATTGAGTTAGTTTTGTTAGCAGCTACTGCTGGGCATGGGGTCTACCTTAAAAGTGGTTTGTTTCCTAGTGAGACTCCTTGGGAGAAAACTAATTTTTCATTTGTAAGTGGCTATCAACTGGGGAGAGCTTCTTGGTTAAGAATGGGTGTGTATGTGGGGTGGTGAGGGTGTGCTGAAGAGATAGCTCAGAGGTTAAGAGCACTGGTTGCTCGTCCAGAGGTCCTGAGTTCAATTCCCTACACCCATGTGACAGCCCCCAACTGCCAGTAATTTCAGCTCCAGGTGATCTGACACCCTCACACAAATACACATGCAGGCAAAACAGCAATGCACACAAAGTAAAAATAAATGAATTATTTAAAAAAAAAGGAGTGTGTGTGTGTGTGTGTGTGTGTGTGTGTGTGCGCGCCTGCCCATGTGGTGCAGACCTGTGCAGGCCCTGTGCATATCGCCACAGTCTCAGTGAGTTCATATGTGTGTCAGTTTTGTTCTGTCTAGAAGGTCTTGATGCCTTGGTGTCCCCTAAACATACAGAGGTTGTCCATGTTTTCTCTCAGGTGCTAAGCCTAATGTGCTTGGAGCAGCATTCACCTATACATCCTATGTCAAGGAGCACCACCACCAATGATACACATCCTATGTCAAGATAAACACTTAGATGAAAGCAAATCCTTTCTGGGAGTATTAATCTGCCTATTTAATGACAATATTTATATTTCCCATGTTTATTTTCAAAACAGCAAGGAAGATCATGCCCCTTCTTTTACCAAGTCTCATTAGCCTAAGAGCATAAAATGCCACTCCTTAGGGGTCTCTCTCTTTCGATCCATGATATATTGACAAATGATAGATAGATAGATAGATAGATAGATAGATAGATAGATAGATAGATAGATATTGAGTATATAGATTAGGGAGAAGAGGCAATTTTTAATACTACCCTAGATCCAAACTAAGAAAGAACATAAAGATATTAGGGTATGACTGTAACTACACATTGTAGTTCCTTTCTGTAAACTCTATAAGTGTTTCAAATCTTACTAAGAATCTTTTAAGAGTATCTCATCTGTGTTCTGTAGATAGTGGTAAGCAATTATTTTTTTAATTTTAATGTAGGGTTTTCATTAAAAAACAAAATCAGATTTGAATTTACAGCATCAGCATTCCTTATATGTGCCAAAGAACCTCCATTCAGACATATATACTTATACAAATATAAAAAGTAATAATTAAATTTTTCTTTGAAAATAGGAAATGAAATTCCATTTGAGAGGAAACACTTCCCTTTGATCCCAGCACTTGGGAGGCAGAGGCAGGCAGATCTGTCAGTTCAAGGACAGCCTGCTCTACAGAGTGAGATCCAGGACAGCCAGGGCTGTACATCTGGGCCAGTGAGATGACTCAGAGGGTTAAGGGTAAGAGCACCTGACACAGCCTGATTACCCGATTCAATCCCTGAGACCTATATTGCAGGAGAGAATCAACCTCCTCAAGCTGTCTTCTGACTTCAATGCATGATCCACACACACAGACGCCCACAAAATAAAGAAATTAAAAAGAAATGAAAAGGTATAAAAATGTCAAAGATGATTAAGGAGACACTGTAACTAATTCAATGCAGACACCTAGGATGGATACATGATGGAGAAACTAATAAGCCTAGGAAGCTCTTTATGCATTAATAGGGCAATGCCACTATCCGTGAAGTCCTCCTGTGTCTAAGTCTTTAGATATGTACCAGGGGTTACATGCAGGAAAAGGACATTGGAGAGGCAAGTAAGGAGCCTGCGGCACAAAACTGATGTCAGTGCAGGCTTTCAGGGCAGTGCTGTTGGGCACCCGAGAGGAAGCATACCCTTCAACATGGGTACGCTACTCTGACACATCTTGGTTTCTGTCCCTATGTGGGCTAACACAGCGGCTCTCAACCTGTGGGTCACGACCCCTTTGGCAAACCTCTGTCTGTAAAAGTGTTTACATTATGATTCATAATAGTAGCAAAATTACAGTTATGAAATATCAACAAAAAATAATGTTATGGTTGGGGGTCACCACAACATGAGGATCTCAGCATTAGGAAGGTTGAGAACCACTGTGTTAATATATAGGAAAAACAGGCAAAGACACACACACACACACACACACACACACACACACACACACACACACACACCAAAAACAAAACAAAACAAACAAACAAAAAAAAAAAACCAAAAAACCAAAAAAACAATTCCAAAAACCATTCTGTATTTATAACACTTCTGTAAATCTACAATTATTTTACTATAAAGCTTTCTGCTCTGGCCAGGAAAGCAGATAGGCCAACTGCAGATCCTAATGGCTCCCTCTCCTCTTCCAAATTCATCCCCCAGTCTCCACCCTGGCCCTGTAGTAGATCTGCTGTGCTCTTTCTTCACTCTCTACCCCATGCCCAGGGGACTAAGCGGATCCTGTGAGCACCCTGCCCTCCCTCCCCCTCCTGTGAGCACCCTGCCCTCCCTCCCCTTCCTGTGGAGCACCCTGCTCTCCCTCCTCCTGTGGAGCACCCTGCTCTCCCCTCCTGTGGAGCACCCTGCTCTCCTCCCCTCCTGTGGAGCACCCTGCTCTCCCCCTCCTGTGGAGCACCCTGCTCTCCCTCCTCCTGTGGAGCACCCAGCTCTCTTCCTCCTGTGGATCCATCTCCTCCACATACTCCTAGCCCAACCCAATTTCTATGGGTCAGCTTCTAATACACAGAAACACATTTTACTGGAACCCCTAGTGGCCACACCTATCAATCCCAGAAGTATTTCCTATCAGGTAACAGGTAGCCACCACACCTGCCTAAGAACCGGAGAAGGCAACAGAAACCAAGAGACAAAACATCCACCCAACAGACAAGAACAGCTATCAGCACCTAGAATTACAATATTCCTAACCCCTCATACCTAGATGCTGGTGTACAATCAGTAACATCCGGGATAATATGTCTCTGCTAGAGCCCAGCAGCCCTACCACAGAAGGCAATGAGCACTGTAACATAACTGAAGCACAAGGAAAAGACCTTAAAACAGCCTTATGAATGTGACAGAGGACCATAAAAAGGAAATGAATAAATTCCTTAGTAAAAACATAAAGAGTAGAAGGAAATGAATAAAACAGCCCAAAACATGAAAGTGGAAATAGGATCAATAAACAAAACACAAAATGACGGAAATCTGGAAATAAAAAATTTAGGAAGTCGAACAGGAAGCCATAGAGGCCTGGACAAATGTACTGCAGACTCCAGGAGATCACAGATGCTAGCTTAGACTATTATACCCAGCAAAACTTTCAATCACCATAGATGGAGAAAATAAGACACTTCATGATAAAATCTAATTTAGTAATGTCTATATACAAATGCAGTCCAACAGAAGGTACAGGAAGAGGTTAGCCACACCTAATAAAACACAAGGAATTAAACAACCTCAGGTCAGCAAATCAAGAAAAGGAAAACACACACACACACACACACACCAACACCACACCTCCACCACCCCTCTCCCCACCACCACAACAACAGGAATCAACAAAGACTGGTCATTGATATCTCTCAACATAAATGGTCTCAATTGGCCAATAAGAAGACACAGATTAACAGAAGAGATGTGAAAACAGGATTCATTCTTTGGCTGCATCTAAGAAGCATATCTTAACATCAGCATTAAACATCACCTCAAGAAAAAAGGGTGGAAAAAGATATTCCAGCAAATGGGCACAATAGCAAGCTATTATAGTCATTTTAATATGTGACAAAATGAACTTTGAACCAAAACTAACCAGAAAAAATAAGGAAGTATGCTACATACTAATCAAAGGAAAAAATCATCCTAAAGGTCTTGGCAATGCTTAATATCTATACACCAAACACAAGGACATCCAAATTCATAAAAGAAACAGTACTACAGCTTAAAATACATATTGACCCTAACACACTGATAATGGGAGACTTCAATACCACACTCTCACCAATGGACAGATCATCCAGACAAAAACTAAACAGAGGAATGTTGTAGTTAACTGACATTATAAACCAAACGGACCTAATAGATATCTACACAACATTTCACCCAAACACAAAAGAATATACCCTCTCCTCAGTTCCTCATGGAACTGTCTCCAAACTGACCATAAAAAGGGACACCCAAAGAAAGCCTCAACATCTACAAGAAAATTGAGTCAGGCAGTGGTGGTGCATACCTTTAATTCCAGCACCCAGAAGACAGAGGCAGACAGATCTCTGAGTTCAAGGCTAATCTGGTCTACTGAGTATGTTCCTGGACAGCCAGGGCTATATAGAGAAATGTTGCCTTAGGAATAAAGGAAGGAAGGAAGGGAGGGAGGGAAGAAGGGAAGAGGAAGGGAGGGAAGGAGAGAGGGAGGAAGGGAGGGAGGAAGGAAAATTTTGTCTTCCTTACTTTTAATACTTGATAGCAGCACTGTATGAACATTTCAAGGTCGATCACATGTTCTACGACTTCAGAAGCCACAACAGCATCAAACACTTGTGCAGTCTCATTGACAATCTCCTCCAGGGCACATGCTTTGTACTCTATCCTCTTATCCAGGACTGGATCAAATGACTTATGGTGCTGTGCTATCTTAATGTTTTCAGCCACAGGATCGATTCCAACAACGGAAGCCCCCAATCGTCCTAGAGGCTAATGGCATGAAAACAGTTATGTTCAAGAAAAAAGCAGAACACATGTTAGCAATAAAAATTTGTCCAAAATGGCTATCCAATACCAAGTGGTCATCCCTAAAAATATACATATGTGAGTAACACTAAACAGAATCAACAGGATCAGCAGGTTGTGTTCATATATTTATTCTAATACCTACATATAACAATAATAATTAATTTTAAAGAGGTCATAGATTTGACATGGAAGACATGAGTAAGGGGTGGAGGGAGGAGAAGGAGGAGAGAGAAATGATGTCAATACAGTATAAATACATAAAATTTTTAAAAATTAATTTAATTCTTTAGTAATTCAAAACTGCTATTCCATGTTTCAAAAGATAGCATATATAAATACAAAAACTACCAAGGTCAATATCCATCAAAGATTAAATTATGATGCAAAAGGTCCCAATGCTGATGAGGAATATAAAACATAAATATTCCTCCCAGGGACAGTAACCACAAATCTAAGCACCCTAGAGCACCTAAAAGGACTTATTCCCACAAGTTGTAAGACTCTTGTCTGCTTTCTTTGAGATGTGTGAAAGGCGAGACTAAACCTGTATTTAATCTCAGACAAATTGCCTAATTTCTTGGGTTAGAAGAGATCAAAGCTTTGAATGACCCATGCCCCATTCATCAAAATAAAACCCAAAAAGCTCCAGTAGTTTTCTGAAAATTCTTTTTTTTTTTCAATTTTGAAAATAGAACTGATAATAATATAACTTATGATAATGTTAATATTAGTACTATTCACTTAAAAATAAACAATATATTTGTTAAAAGGACAAATGAAGCAGAAAGCCACTTCTCAATTTTTTACCCAGTTAAAAATAACAAAATTTTGATCAAAACACATTAAATGCATGTATAAAACTCCTGAGCTGTTGGATGAATTGGACATCATTTGAAATGGATCATGTTTTTAAACATACTGATATGATCTACTTAGTTGCTGTTGGAATGATTTTAAGGCTTTAGCTACTTTCACTAACACTACTAGGCACCCCCAGCAGTTCTCATGTCCATGAAGAATGGAGAACACACGGCCAGCACTTACTTCAGTCAATAGGCCACCACCACAGCCAACGTCCATAATCTTCATCCCACACAAAGGCCTTCCCGGATAGTGACTAGCACTTGTCTTCAAAAGATTGTCTCTTTAAAAACAAAATCCAAAACATATAAAAATGGATGGCTACCTTTATCAACGAAAGGTTTTAATACATATAATCTTCAAGGAAATATTAACCTTCATTTAATTTAGCTTGCTCATTTAGCTGTACAACTTGGAGACAGGGGCTCATTACAAGGCTCAGCCATGCTTGAGTCTCCAATCTTCCTTCCTCAGTCTCCTGGATTTTGAGATCAAAGGAGTACTGCCACCAGTCCCAGTCTGGAATTCCAATTTGAAATGAATCATTGAAGTTTTTACAAACATACCTTTTATTTATTTATTTCAGAATTAAATGACCTACTTAATTTGTACATTTTCAATATGTAAAGTTCTGATATAATCCAACATTAATCTATTATTGCTCTAGTAACACTCTAAAGAAAAATCTCAAACTAATCTAGTACAAATGAACATAATTTTATTCAAATACCTTTTCAATAAAACTGTCTCAAAAATACGGAATGAAAATTTACAGCCTCTGTTGGCTATGTTGTCAGACGTACTTAGGCCAACTTCATGTGTTATTTTACAGACTTAAAAAGCAGCTGGAGGACTGGGGAGATAGCTCAGGGATAACAGCACTGACTGCTTTAATATAATCATTGTAATACTTTACCATATGCACAGCATATGTGCACATGTACCTACATAACCTGATACTCCTATGTACTATAGTATTGTAAATTAAGCTTTAAATTGAACATATACATTAATTATACTAAAATAAGCATTATCTATATGCATACACATACACACACCATATCATGGGGTTGTATAATCTTCTGATCATGTCTGTTAATCACCTACTGTGAAAGGAAGGCATGGACGGTGCCATATCATTTTATTCCTAGGGATTAGAACAGTTCCTAGAACAAAGCAGTTTCTCAAGAGAAAATATATATCATCTTAGGGTATCTAACATTGCTAGTAAAAGTAACTAAACTCTTAAAATAATCCAGTCAATAAAACAACTCTGCTATAATTCTCAGGCCATACTGTTTCCTTCTGATGGCTTTCTGTTATGATGAAAACAAAATCCAAACATGCAACCCCAACATGAGATGACCTTTTATGTGATGCATAAAGATGCCACAGTAGTTTGCTAAGTTCCCAACATAGTGATGCTGGAACCGCCCAGAAGAGCTGCTGAGCTGCAAACTGCATCAATGCAAGCCCTCTGCACTCTTGCCTTTCTTTATCTCCCACTGAAACACATGTCCACATGTTGTTTATCCAAGTAGCTTTCACAGTCTGGCACTACAGCCCCATGGGTATAAGCTCTCAAACATTCTCGTTGAACCAATCTGTCTCCACAAGGTTGCCTTTATCAGAATCGTCTAAAGGTTACCAAGGCCACTGCAGATCAGTAGCTAGAAAATGACCTGATGATATAGCTCTTTAGTTCCCTTTCATTAGGACTGAATTCTCACTAACCTAATAGGGCCAACAAAGTTTATAATTAAGTTGGGAAAGCAACCTGGGTTTTAGTATTGTTTCTATAAGTTAATGATTTAAGAGATATCTTTTTAATTATGTGAATGTGTCTGGGAATGTGATGAGCCCAGCCAGTGAGGATGTCGGCTTCCCTGGAACTGGACTGGTTATGAGCAGCCTGGTGTGGGTGACAGACACCCCTCACCACTGGTCCTCTGTGAGCAGCATGACCATTCTTAACTGCTGAGCCATCTCTCTACCCCCCCCCCAGAGATAATGATTTTAAATGGTGAGTCCTAATGAGGAATATCCCTAATTTCCAAACCAAATCTAAGACAGGAAATTTTGAGGTAAGTAAAGCAAAAGGGAAATAAATGCAAAAAAGTGAATTGTGCACTTTTAAAGACTTAAAAGGAGTCTGTGGAGTATTACCTAATGAATGGCACCCTCAGGTCATTCATAGAATGTAGAGGCGCAAATGTCCCTTGCTCATCCCACCACTTGTGAGCCAGGGCCAGGAAGGTTTTCATCTCCTTGCTGTCAACTGTTGTTTGTGAAGTACTGTATAAGCGTTCCCAAGGGGGCCTAAGGGATGAAACAAAGAACAAGGCAATATTGTCGTTCTAAAGAATATGTTAAACAGAATATGCCGTATAGAAAGATATCCTAATTTATTAGATTCTAAGTATATATAGATTCTAAGTATATATTTTGATACTTTAAGATCACAACCACATGCTCATATACGTTCACAAGCTTTTGAGGGCAAAGCCTGCCCTTCTAGGTCACAGCTAATACAATAATAATAACAATAATAGCTATCACTTATTGAGTACTTACTAAATGCCAGGAACTAAGAACATGTTTTTTTTTGTTTTTTGGGGTTTTTACAAATGTACTGTTATCCTTATTTTATGGTTGAGAAAAAAAAAAAGTTCGGAGAGTCAAGTAAGTGGTTGGGCCCCAACTTGAACACAAATGATTCTAGTATCCGCCTCCTTTCCTCCACTTTCCGCCTCTATCATTGAAGTCTGAGTCTTTTATCGTCTGATGGCTCCATACATCACCACCTCCTAATTTGTTTTCCATAATGAACTACAGAGATTATTCTGAAATAAAAATCTAGTTAATTTATTTCTCCCATAAAATGCAAGGCTTCCAGTGCTGTTAGGGAAAAGATTAAAACCCTGAAAGAAAGCTCAGAATTATGGAGCCCGGCTTCCTTCCTCTCAAGACCCATTTTCTCTTCATCTTCACCACTAGCCACGTAGCTTTTGATTGGCTGGTCTTGCTCCTCCCTCACACACCTTGTGTATGTATGGTCTTCTGTCTGGACCACTTTTCCTACAGCCCTCCCTTTCCTCTGCCAAGCATTTTAGTCTCTCATCCCTCAAATCTTTTTGTTTTGTTTTGTGTTTGTTTGTTTGTTTGTTTGTTTGAGACAGGGTTTCTCTGTATTGCTTTGGAGCCTGTCCTGGAACTAGCTCTGTAGACCAGGCTGACCTCAAACTCACAGAGATCCATCTGCTCTGCCTCCCGAGTGCTGGGATTAAAGGCATGTACTACCAATGCCCAGCTCATCCCTCAAATCTTAATTTAAATAGGAGAGCATTTATAAAATCTTCCTTGATGCTCAACTGTGGGTCACATTCCCCCATCTTAATTCCTTTGTCGCTTTGCATTCTTCATGGAGTTGTATAATCATCTGATCATGAATGTTAATCACCAGAGCCTACTGTGAAAGGAAGGCATGGACGGTGCCATATCATTTTATTCCTAGGGAATAGAACAGTTCCTAGAACGAAGCAGTTTCTCAAGAGATAATTGTCAAATAGATATTTGAAGAAAAGACATCAGAAAAAGATTGTAATTTGTCCTAGCTCTTTTAATCACAAGAGAAGAGGAAGCAAAACAAAAATTAGACACATCATTGAATTGCATGTCAGTACAGTATTGAAAAATACTCCAAAGTTCTGCTTGGCCAAAGATAATTAGGTTGTTAACTTGGAAAAAATAATGCCACCCAATTCTTTATTGTTTTTCTTAGATCCATTAGAGAGCACATTCTGTAGAAATTACTCTTTTTTTATTATTTAAATTCAAGTACCACATGCCAGTGAGATGGCTTTGTGTAAAGGTGCTTGCTTCTAAGCCTGACAATCTGCATTTGGTCCTTGGGACCCACATGGTTGAAGAAGAGAAATGACTCCCAAAAGCTGTTCTCTGTTCTCTGACATCCATAATGGTGTCAAGGCACGGATGACACCTCCCTATACACACACACACACACACACACACACACACACACACACACACGTGACTTTTAAAATGTAAATACAAGCCATCATTTTCCTCTAATATCTTAAGACAATGGGTTCCCTTGGGCATGATTTAGTCAAACCATCAGTAACAGTTGCTCTGTTAACTAAGAAGAGTTTCACCTATACTCAATCGCAAAGACTCTCACTCAACAAAATGCAAGGGTGTGCACTTAGGAAGTAGACTCAGTTTAACTAGCATTAGGAGGTATTTCTCAAGATTGGACACTAATTTGTAAAATCTAAACACATGCCTTTTGACTTAATATTTTCTAGCATTATGGGCTTCTCCACCTTAGCAGTTTATATTTTTGTTCTATCATGATGGGATTACAGAAAAGTAAAACATCTCCATGTCCTTAATACGGCCTTCTCTCTTTTGCTTTTAGTGATAGGAATAGGAGTTAATAAGAAAGAAAAAGGCACTCTCCAGGGTGGAAGTGGGCTGGCGAACTGGGGAGAGATGTGTCTACTCTTCTATTAAAAGTAAAAATTGTCTCTGAAATTGAATAAATAGCATACGTGGCTATATACTGTATTTTTCTTACAACTTTTCAGTGAACTTGACGTTTTGTAAACCTAAAAATTATTACAACATATTATTTAAGAATATTTAAATGATATTTAAATGAACAAATGCTACTTTAATTAAACTGATGAGCTTTCACACCAGCAAAGTTTATTAAACACAACCAAAACTAAACTACCATTACACAGTTTATGCAAATCTCTACCAGGATAATAAATAAACTCACCTGTAAGTTTTTAGTCTGGTCAGACAGGAAAAAGTCATGCTGTAGGATCTAAACTGCATGGTCCTGTGTTCACTCAATTCCCATGACTTAATCTGTAGATTCCTAGTGAGCTGATTCCCTGAATTAGCTGAAAACAAAGTTTAGTATACAGAGAAAAGCATGTAATTCCTGCTATGAACATAGTTGAAGAATTTTTATATGACATTCTTATGGTGTACTGCAACTGATAAACAAATGAGTTTCTTAATTTGGGGTTTAATTAAAAACATAAAATAAAAGGTCTTACTTCCATCTAAAAATTAAAATGATCAACAACAGGTGTTGGTGGTGCATGCCTTTGATCCCAGCACTTGGGAGGCATAGGCAGGCGGACTTCTGTGAGTTCGAAGCCAGCCTTGTCTACAGAGGAAGTTCCAGGACAGGTTCCAAAACAATACAGAAAAACCCTGTCTCAAAAAACAGGAAAAAAAAAAAAAAAAGTCCAGGCTCAAATAGTTCCACTAGAAAATCTCTTCAAGGGTGGCAAGTGCTCTTAACCACTGAGTCATCTTACATTTAAACAGAGCCCCTGGAAGAAGAAATATCAAATAATACTACCCAGTCTCTTTAATAAAACATAACAGTGGTGGACAGTGAACATCGCCAGAATCCACTTGCAATCCAGCACTTGGAGAGGAAGATTAGAAGTGGAAGTCAGTCTGTGCTACACAGTAGCCCTATCTTGTTTGTTTTGTTGTTTTTTTCTTGTCTTAATGAGGTTCATGCTTGTTTTGATTCTTATTATTTATTTATCTATTTGAGGTAGAGAAAGAATATGAAATTAGGAATTGGGGAAGATCTAGGAGTAGTTGGGGGAAGGGAGTATGATCAAAACATATTCTATGAAAAAACTTAAGTAAGAAAATCTTGAAAGCCATTTGGAAGGCAGATGCAGTCAAATCTCTGAGTTTGAGGCCAGCCTGGTCTACAGAGTGAGTTCTAGGACAGCCAAAGCTGTCTTGAAAAACCATATAAACATAAATATTCAATAAAGCAAGACAACAATGCAGGATACATCCCGACTCATTTTACAAAGCTAGAATTACTCTAAAAACCAAAGAAGATTACAGACTAATTTGCCTGGAGAGCAATATCCACAAATGCTAGCAAATAAAATCGAGCAATCAATGGAAAAATAATATAGCAGGACCATACTGGCTGAGACAGATGAAGCAATTTACAAAATCCAATTCATCTATTATGAAAACTCAACAAATAAGAATGAAAGGGAACTTCTTATACAAAGCATCTATAAAATCTTATAGTTCACATATGACTTAGATGATAAAAGAGTAAGGTGCTAACCACATCAGGAACAAAATCTTAGCTATAAAGCAAGAAAGCAAAGTTTATACAGGAAGGAAAGAAGGAAATTTAACTGCTCTTACTATCTGTGTAGAAAATCCCTAGGAATCTTAAATTTATTTTTTAGTATTTATTTACTTTTACCTTACATATATGAGAGTTGTACCTGCATGTAAGTGTACTCTGTGTGTGTGTGGTGTATACAGAGGCCAGAAGAGGGCATCAGATACGCTGGAATTGGAGTTCAGGGATTGTGAGCTACCATGTAGGTGCTAGGGAATGAATTTGGGTCCTTGGCAAGATCTACCATGCTCATAACTGCTAAGCCATGTCTCCAGCCCTCAGGGGAATCTTATATTTAAGCAAAAGCCCCTCCATACCAAAAGAAGCATAATGTATAACACCTTATGTAATACTTAAAATTTTGTTTTTTCAAGACAGGGTTTCTCTGTGTAGCTTTGGAACCTGTCCTGGAACTCGCTCTGTAGACCAGGCTGGCCTTGAACTCTCAGAGATCCACCTGCCTCTGCCTCCCGAGTGCTGGGATTTAAAAGCATGTGCCACTAACACCCAGCCTGTTTGTTTTTGAGACAGGGTCTCACTGTGTGCCCTGGCTAGCCTAAAACTTACTATGTGTACCAGACTAGCCCCAAAATCATAAAGATCTACCTGCCTTTGCCTCCTGAAAACTAGGATTAAATTTAAATTTTTTAAAACTTGTGTGGGTGTTTTACATGTATGTATGTATGTATGTATGTATGTGCACTGTGTCAGTGCCTGGTGCCTGCAGAGACCAAAAATGGGTATAAGGTCCCTGGGAACTAGGGTTACAGAAAGTTATGATCAACCATGTGGGTTTTATGAACAGCTAGATGGGTGTTTTGAAATGACCAGGGGTCCTCTGGAAGAGCAGTGAGCACTGTTAACCACTGAGCTATCTCTCCAACTCCTACTATGTAGGTAACACTTTTGAAATGACAAAATTGTAGTTATGGAAAAACAGAGCAATGGGAGTTTTGGATGAGACAGCAGGCTAGAGGCTACTTCTATGAGAACTGATGGAGAAAGTCAGATAAGGGGAAAAGAGGCTTTATTTCAAAAAGAAATAGTGGAAATGCTTTGGAAACTCATGAAGGAGGCAAAAAGAAACTAGAAAACAGAAATAAAGAAACCTGCCACAGAGAAGCAAGCTGAACACAGACCCAGCCATGTTCCAGCTGCTTCCAAAGTGTGAATCAGACCAGAGCCAGAAGCCCCACCCTCAGGTCAACAGCTTCAAACCCAACTACAAGCTTTGGTGAGACAACTGTACCAAGTCGTGAAGATCCCCAGAGACCACCAGGGAGACAGACCCACTGATGCAAATGTGTAAGGTTTACTGTTCATCCAACCATGACAGGGACCACCAGAGGAAGTGAGTTCCCTGCTTACTGCCAGGTTTTTAAAGGAAAAATCACAGGATTACATTAGTGGGTATGAGTTGGGTTCTGATTGGTTGACATTTGGGGAATAATCAGGGGAAGTTCTCAAAGTCATATTTTGGTATGAAATACCTGTGTACCAATTATTCTCATTGGCCAGTGCTGACAGGGAACATTCTGTGGCTTCTATGACTTTGTCTTGTTACTTGCAGGTGGCCTGTTGTTCACAGATACCAATGATTTTCAGAACTGTGTCCTAGAGACCCCAGGGGAGGCTTTGGTCTCCCCCGGAGTTTCTTTAGTGACCAAACAGTTCCCAGGAACCAAGCATCTAGGAGGCCGGGGGCAGGGAGTGTCTGGTTTCTTTGAGTTCAGTTTTGGTCCTGGACTCCAGGAGGCCAGGGGATCTGGAGTTTGTGTCATGTGCTGAGTCAGAGGCCTACATGTCTTTTCTGTGGCCTGTCATGGCTGCTGACGCAGGGGGCTGAGTGCGGGTCTGGTCCCTTTATTGCTTACAATTTTTCCCCAGTGTAAATTGTTAGAAGAGCAGCCTTTGAGTTTAGTTTACCCCTTTCACAATGTCTCCTCTGAGACACAGTTCAGCAGCACCAAAGACAAACCCTGTTTTGTCATCCTGTATTGCTCAGGGAATAGCAGCCAGATGTCATCTTGAGAAAAACTATTGGTAAAGACAGACCCACCCCAGGAGCCAGGAGCCATAGCCACTGCCAGGTTAACCAGTCACAGCTCGTGGATGAAGGATGGCCCAGAAAAACTATAAGAAGGAGGGTCAGGTGAGCCTGTAGTGACAGATTATTTATGATTTATTAAAGCTTGCCTGAAGATTCAGAAAGCAAAGTCAGCCACAAGCCATAGAATCCAGGCACACACCTTAAATCCCAGCAGCCAGAAGCTAGGAGGTGGTGGTACACACCTTTAATCCTAGGACTCAGGATTAAGAGGTAGACCGATCTCTGTGAGTTCAAGGTCACCCAGATCTACTCAAGAGTGAATCAGTCAAAAAGAGAATTAGAGCTCACACCTTTGAGCCCATCACTAGAAGGGTATAAAAGATAGAAGCAGGGTCTTCAGTCTTCAAATGGAGCATTCATTCTCCAGCCACATTGAGGAGAGGCAGCAGTCTGAGACTTGGTGAGAGCTCATGGAGACAGGATCAGCCCATTCAGCCTGAGCTAGAGGTAAGAAGCTAGTGGCTGGCTGTTTTGCTTGTCTGATATTCAGCTTGAAGCTTGAACCCCAATGTCAGTCTCTGGGTCTTTTACTTTTTATGTTACACGAGCCAAAGGGTCAAGAGGGCAAGGGGCTCTTTCAGGATGGGAATGAGTAGTAAGGCAAGCTAGCTCCACTCTTGGTGGTCAGAGCCAGATTTTACCCACTATTTCCCTGGAGATTGACAGTTCTGACACTGAGTCAGTGGGTAGATAGACTATTGACGATATGTCTGTGTCCCTCACTGCTGAAGTCCATACATTCTGAAGTTCCAGAGGCGTACACCATACCCATACTGACATCCCTCCAGCAGGATGCTTAACACTTAGACCTTGCAGGTAGGGTAACAGGTTCTTTGCTTTTACTCACTCCAGTGTTGTGGTCACTTCCCAACACACTTGGGAGATGCCCACAAGCTAAAACAGCTGCCCTACATTGTGTCATCTGGGGAGGTTCTGGAGGGTATGACAGCTGCCCTGGCCACAGAACGCAAAGCTAATTGTGGCAAGCTGAGGCTTCTGGCACCCAAAGAAGCAAAAAGCTGTAGTGAAAATTACTCTGGAAGACACTGGGCATTTACATGCCATTCAGCAATAGCATAACCCAAATACAAGAGCCCCAAAGTGCAACTGGCTCTCCCTCTTTATGCACTGGGCTAGGAGCCTCCAAATTTTAAGGAACCAAAAGAAATGTCCTTTCCCCTGTCCTCCCTCCCTCCCTCTCTCTCTCTCCCTCTCTCTCTCTCTCTCTCTCTCTCTCTCTCTGTGTGTGTGTGTGTGTGTGTGTGTGTGTCCCATCCCCACTTTTGGGAGTTGGTTCTCTTTATATCAGGTGAGTTCCAGGGACCTAACTCGGGTTGTTAGGCCTGGTATCAAGAGACATCTTACTAGCCCTTCATCATCTTCTTGTTCTATTTATTAATTTATTTATTAATCTTATCCATCTATTGTTGTGTAATATTTGTTTAACTATGCAAAGATGTGTTGTATCTGTTTAATTATGTAAAGATGTGTTGCCGCCTAAGGCACCTGACTGGACGAATGAAAAGCTGAATGGCCAATAGTGAGGAGGGAGAAGGTATAGGCAGGACTTCCAGGCAAGGAGAGTGAGTAGGTTGGGGAGGGAGAGAAAA